AGGGAGGAACTCAAACCCTGAGGTCTCCTCTCTTCCCATTAATGTTCCCTGTGTGCTGTTAATGGGGCTCATTTGACTGTTTAATAACCCAGAATTACTCCTAGATTTGGAAAGTTGTTGTGATTCACTACTGGAGTCAAATAGTTGAATTTTTAAAAAGAATATTTTGAATATCTTTACTTTTACACTGTGCAAAAATCAGGGAACTGTTAAATTAATCTGCTTAATTATTTTATTCTAAATTAATTATATAACAGTAATATATTGTTTTATTATATCATTGATTATATAATTTGCCATGACTTCAAATCTAAAATCTGTGATATTACTGCTTAAAAAGAAATAGGTATTTCTAATGAATTTAGATTGATATGGCAACTTAAAAAAAAAAATTTAATCATATCTCGATGGAGGCATTGCCTCCTCTCACACGTGACTTTCCCCCATTCATTCTCAATTACCCCCCACTAAACCCACCGCACACATTTGGGGGTCTGCTAATTTCCTTAATTATACGACAAACCCTATTTAACTGGCAGCATTCCTCCAATTTTCACTGAGATTGCAAGATGGTGGGCAGCTCTAAGGTGACTGAAAGCCTGCAACAGGAGGTTGTCCAGATGAAGGCTAAAGGGATGCCCCTTTCAGCCATTGCAAGAGAAGCTGGTCATTCCAAATCTGTGATTTTTCAAATATTGCAGCCTTACAATGACACTAATTCAAGTCCCCCAAAAAGGCTGGCCGTCCACGTTAGACAAATTCATGAGAGGACAAGATAATGTGGGGACTCTCAATGGGGAATCGGTTCAACACTGCAGCTGGAATTGCTTGCCAGTTCAGCGCTGAACAGGGTAAGGATCTGTCTCAGCAAGTTTAAGAGAAGTCGCACTGAAAGTGCACTCTGCAGTGACCAAGCCTCTCATCAGCAGAAAGAATCAAAAGGCTAAGCTCACCTTTGCTGAGGAACATATTGTGTGGAGAGAAGAGAACTGGTTCACTTTTGTAATGAGAGCAAGACGATGTCCCCGTCACACTGCAAAACAGGTAAAGCAGTTCCTTGTAGCCAAGAAACATTGAAATAATGAAATGGCTGGCCCAGAGTCCTGATCTAAACCAGATTGAAAATCTCTGGAAAATCCTTGGTGATAAAGTTATGGCTTAGAAACCCACTAAAGTTACCAAACTGTGGAAGAGACTGGAAGAAGAGTGGACCAAGATCACACCGGCGCAGTGTGAGAAACTAGAGATGTGCTGATATCATTCAAAGCAAGGGCCTCTACACTTCCTATTAATTGACAGCTGTAATCCCCCTCCAAAATTTTAGTTGTAATCTTCTTTCGTGCTACAGTGATTACTGTTTTTTTGATCATGTTTTCCACAAAATAAAGGTTATTTTGCCAAACATGTTAGTATAACAGGGGTACACCTGCAGCTAATATTCCTTGAAATTTTGAGCGATGAAGATGAAAGAATTTTTTTTATTTTATAAAAACCTCTGTTCCATTTAATATATTATATAAATTTGTATGTATAAGGTTAATTTTTTTGTGCGTGTGTGTGTGTATTTGTTTATACACGCAAAAAAAATTATTGCAAAATTTGTCAAATTTATAGAAATAAATACAACTAAATACATGCTAACATTTTCGGATTCTGCACAGGGCATGTAAAATGTATATCTGTGTATATATTTATGTATTTGCCGTTTTTTACCTTAATTTTATACGGAAGTGGAGTGAAGTCAGGAACATTATGTTTCATAATTTGTTTTTAATAATAATTATTTTATAATCTAATGTAACAAATCAGATAATTGCCAAAGCTGAAAGGACATATTTACCCAAAATAATTATCTCAAATTGAAAACAGAAACTGTCCATTATCCATTTATAGGGGTATTGGTTGATTTTGTAAGTTTGACAAGAAGCCGATGACGGTAATCTCAATGTCTGTCGCAGTCTGTCACTTATAGACAGCTTGAATGGAAATCTGAAATTGTGATGTTAATTCCTATTGTGATTATGAAAAATTCATTTTTTTATGTTATATGTTTGGTCTCTGGTTTAAATGATGTGTTTCTTCAGTGGGAGTGATAGCATCCTCATGCCCCGGTTGCTGGATGTCATTTTGAATATGTAATTTCTTCTGCACTCATCCTGATTTGACTCACACCAGTAACCACATTTTTTTCCCTCCATCTACCATTTGCGGTGAATCATAAGAAAAGGGCGACATGACTAATTAGTGTGTTTGTTCTCACACAAGCACATTAATAACTGTCATTATTTGCCTAGAATGCAATACACAGGCAAAAAAAAAAATAAAGAATGGATATCAATAAGCTCACGTCCCCCAAGCCACCTGATCAAAGAGAGATAGACATTGGCTGGTACAGGAGGTGCCAAGGTACCTTGAAGGGTTATGACTTTATCTATCTAAGCTATAATTTATATTAAAGATTTTCTGATGTACTACCACATACAGGTTTCCAATGCCTAACCTCATAAACATCCAATGATTTAGCACGTGACTTGTTCCTCGGGGTGTGTGTTGTAATGAAATAGTAATTTCTTCATTCAAATGAAACATGTCTGTTGTGACATGAGTGTTTCTGTGAGCCTTGCCTCCTCGCATGACTTTTGATGAAAACTTGCTCAACAAATTGGATGTAACACTTATAGGTCTTAAATTCCAAAGCTGATGCTGTCAGGCCTGTTGAATATTTAATGACATAATAAAGCAGGGCCATAAAGTAACTTTATTTGTACGTTTGTAATTCAAACGCTCCATATGCAGGCTAAATTATGTATTTCCAATGCCTTTTCACGTATATTAATGTATTATAGAGGAGGAGGCAAGGCAATTCTAATAAATGATACATAGCAGTTGATTCAGTTCTGGTGAATATAGAAATGTAAATCTTGTATGGTCTAATGTATCCCGTTTCCCATTACAGTTGATGTGAGTGAATTTTTCTTATTACGAGTGGGCCGTTTTCCCAAAGGCAGTTTCATGTGGTGTGGCAAAGATACACACGTGTGTCATATTCTTTTGGTCTGACCCACAAGGGAGTTTTTAGCTGAGATCAAACCGTTTTCAGTACATTGATATGATGTGAAATAGAGCCTTTAATAGAACTATGATTTGCTGTTATTGTGTGTTTAATAGACATGTGGATGGCGTTTTAATGCCTGCTGTTGTCTCATTTGCACAGAGACATTGAATGCATTACAGCAAGTCCTAACCTGGCATGACAAGCAATAAATCTTAAATGTTTTTGTCCTAAACAGCCGTGGCCACGACAAGCAACATACATTTTGTAGTAGTCTTTTATGCTCACCAGGGCTGCATTTATTTTAAGAAAAATACAATAAAAACAGTAATATTGTGAAATATTATTACAATTTAAAATAAGTTTTCTATTTGAATATATTATAACGTAATTTATTCCTGTGATGGCAAAGCTGAATTTTCAGCATCATTACTCCAGTCTTCAGTGTCACATGATCCTTCAGAAATCATTCTAACATGCTGATTTGGTGGTAAAAAAAAACATTTCTTATTATTATCAATGTTGAACACACGTGTTAATATTTTGTGGAATCTGTGATACATTATTTTCAAGATTCTTTGATGAATAGAATTTTTTTTTTGTAATGTAAAAATGTAAAAGTCCTTCCAGTCACTTCTGTATAATTTAAGTATAAATATAAATGAATAAAAGTATTAATTTACTTAAAAAATGTATACTGTCCCAAATATTTGTGTATAGTATAGCTAAGATTCTATGCACAATTTTTATGCAAAATTTGGGATGCCGGCTAAAATGCTGAATAGAAAAAGAAGGTACATAAAACATTTGGTGGCTAATTATTTTTATTCAGTAAGAAAAAAAATGCATAGAAAAAATGGTGGAAAAACATTTACCAAATTCAAGACAGGCATTGGGGAAAAAAAAAAAGTCATGTGACTCTAGTCAAGTCACCTTTATTTATATAGCGCTTTTACCAATACAGATTGTGTCAAAGCAACTGAACAGCATTAATTAGGAAAATAGTGTGTCAATAATGCAAAATGACAATAGTAAACACACATTTTTCAGTTAAAGGCAGTTCATCATTGAATTCAGTGATGTCATCATCCAGCTCAGTTCAGTTTAAATTAATCAGATCTAGCAGTTTTTAATGCTTTTCTGTAGGATAGGTTGTTTTCTTGAGGTACAGTCACATGACTCTACCTCAAGTCATGTGACTGACTCATTTGCTCAAATGATTAGGTGCGTTCGACTTCATGCGGCGCCGCGCAAACCGATCGGTGGCTGACTTGAAGCAGTGCATGAACGCACCTACTGACTACTACTACCTCCCACAATTGTCAAATGACATACTGTCACTGCCCCCACAATGATTGTCATTGGTCCCACAATCACATTTTAAACATCAAATATATTCTTTCTGATAAACCAATCTGATGAGATTTGTCAAATTCTACAGCGTTTTCTCTTTCAGCGTGGACAGAAAAATAACTGGAAACTTGCAGATGTTGTATTTGGTTAGAACACTGTGTTTGTGTTTGTAAAATAAGCCTATTACATTCGCTTCTCGTCCATATTCAGCAGAGCACACCTGATTGATTTTTTCAATAAACAAAATAATCAGAATCCTTATTGGATTATCCAGTTGAAATGATGCCAATATCCATTTCTTGCTCTCCCACTGTTATACTGTCTAAAATAAACAGTCAGATATCTAGCAGTGTCAGTGTTTCTCCCCCTGAAGACTAATAGATTCATGTATTAATAGATGTCAAAGGTGGGAGGTTTGGAGAGATTTGTTTGAGTGACTTGTGAAATGTGAAACATTTGCATTTTGTTTGTCACAGTGGTACGGTGTATAGTGGGGTTGTATCCCCGGAGGGAATCTGCACCCTTGTGATTGAATCTCCCTGATTTAATGCACTCATCACTGACCTGTGCTTCCCTCTCTCCATCTCTCTCCCAGGAATGTGAGTTCGGCAGGAGAGGAGGCCCGACGGCGGATGAGAGAATGTGAGGGTCTGACTGACACGCTGCTTTTCGTCATCCAGACTTCCCTCGGAAGCAGCGAGATTGATAGCAAGGTAAGCTTTCCTCCCGGGATCTGTCCATCTCTTCCAGAGCTATTAAGGCAACCTGTTGTAAGTGTCTGTGAGTGTGTGTAGAGGTTCATGGAATGTTCTGTAACAAATAGACAGCTCTGTGGTTGGCTGCTGTCTGAAGTTTGCGAAGGCTCGCTCTTCTAAATGGCGTTCTTTAATCATGATTTAACTGGCAGCCCTCCGTCAGGCCCAGCGTGCTAATAGCAGAGCGGAGGGGATGCATCCGTCCTAATGAGAATTGAAGAGCAGAGCGTGTGGATGCTGGAGCGTGGCACAGTTCTTTCCCTCTGGTCATTTTCAGACTTGCGAGCATTCCAGCCTTCCCACAATTCCCGCTGTCTGAATCCCCCCACGGTGCACTCTCAACCACCTCTCCTCACCACGACTGCAAGCGGCTACTCTCGTTGACTGCCGTCTGTAGCCGTGCTTCAAGTTGAACGCACCTACTGACTACTACTACCTCCCACAATTGTCAAATGACATACTGTCACTGCCCCCACAATGATTGTCATTGGTCCCACAATCACATTTTAAACATCAAATATATTCTTTCTGATAAACCAATCTGATGAGATTTGTCAAATTCTACAGCGTTTTCTCTTTCAGCGTGGACAGAAAAATAACTGGAAACTTGCAGATGTTGTATTTGGTTAGAACACTGTGTTTGTGTTTGTAAAATAAGCCTATTACATTCGCTTCTCGTCCATATTCAGCAGAGCACACCTGATTGATTTTTTCAATAAACAAAATAATCAGAATCCTTATTGGATTATCCAGTTGAAATGATGCCAATATCCATTTCTTGCTCTCCCACTGTTATACTGTCTAAAATAAACAGTCAGATATCTAGCAGTGTCAGTGTTTCTCCCCCTGAAGACTAATAGATTCATGTATTAATAGATGTCAAAGGTGGGAGGTTTGGAGAGATTTGTTTGAGTGACTTGTGAAATGTGAAGCATTTGCATTTTGTTTGTCACAGTGGTACGGTGTATAGTGGGGTTGTATCCCCGGAGGGAATCTGCACCCTTGTGATTGAATCTCCCTGATTTAATGCACTCATCACTGACCTGTGCTTCCCTCTCTCCATCTCTCTCCCAGGAATGTGAGTTCGGCAGGAGAGGAGGCCCGACGGCGGATGAGAGAATGTGAGGGTCTGACTGACACGCTGCTTTTCGTCATCCAGACTTCCCTCGGAAGCAGCGAGATTGATAGCAAGGTAAGCTTTCCTCCCGGGATCTGTCCATCTCTTCCAGAGCTATTAAGGCAACCTGTTGTAAGTGTCTGTGAGTGTGTGTAGAGGTTCATGGAATGTTCTGTAACAAATAGACAGCTCTGTGGTTGGCTGCTGTCTGAAGTTTGCGAAGGCTCGCTCTTCTAAATGGCATTCTTTAATCATGATTTAACTGGCAGCCCTCCGTCAGGCCCAGCGTGCTAATAGCAGAGCGGAGGGGATGCATCCGTCCTAATGAGAATTGAAGAGCAGAGCGTGTGGATGCTGGAGCGTGGCACAGTTCTTTCCCTCTGGTCATTTTCAGACTTGCGAGCATTCCAGCCTTCCCACAATTCCCGCTGTCTGAATCCCCCCACGGTGCACTCTCAACCACCTCTCCTCACCAAACTCACAGCATGGCTAATTAAAAATAGTGTACTTGAATTTCTTGTAATATTTCTTCAGGCTTTATAGGCTGTATGTAGACTGTTAAAACTTGCTTAAAGGCTTAAAGGGACAGATCACCCAAAAAATGTGAAATTACTTTACTCACCGTCATGTCATTTCAAACCTGTATGACTTTCTTTCTTCGTCAGAACACCAAAGAAGTTACTTTGAAATGCATCTCAATGTCCAAAACAATACTGGACCTCATTCACTTTCATTGTATGGACAAAGACAGTTGAAACATTCTTCAAAATATCTTGTTTTGTGTTTCCACAGAATAAAGTCATACAGGTTTGGAACGACATGAGGATGAGAAAACTGATGACAGATGATGACTGATAATTCATTTTTGAGTGAACTATCGCTTTAATAACATCCACCAATGTTCAATTGAAACCTACGCCATACTTCTTCGTTTACCTGTTTCACATAGTTTGTAATGTACTAGTTAAAGTGGTCAACTACGTGACTAATTGGTTTTTACAACAAATAGTGAATATTCCTGACTACTTTCCCAAAAACGATGTATACCTGGTAAGATAAGACCTAAAATTAGTTAGGTTGAAAAGTGTATTGTGTGTTTTAATGCTAAACTCTCTTCAAGTTGTTGTATCTGAATTCATCTCTTTCTGTAACAAATTCTCAACATTAATTTTCAACATATTTCAAGATAGTTACTGTTGGATGTCAATCCATGTGAGCAATGTTCACGTTTGTATGCATACTGTGACAGTTATGTGCAATGAAGGTTATTTGAAGTGTACTTCAGTTTTCAAATGAACACTTAGCATATGCATACAGCCGAGCACATAACCTTTCAAAGCATACTCCAGTTTAAGCGTGCGCAAACACAGACTCTAGACACACGCGCACAAGAAAGCTTCATCCATCCCTCTCCAGAAGTTATTAGCGATAAAAGTGTTTCTGTACTCGTTTAAACTAAACTCGTTGTGGTCTCTTAACCCCCTCGCACAAGTGCTTGTCAGTGCAGGCATCTATTGTTGTCAGCACTTTGTTGTTCATCCGTATCATCCATTTCTTTTCAACTGTGAAACAACAGGCCGGATCCATGTTGCCACCTCAGTGCAAGAAAATTCAAGACACATGCAATCTGAGCATACAAGCTTAGAAAAATTAGTTTGCGCTCATGCATGCGCATATTATGCTGATGTTGAAATTTACACCACACACTGTATGCTTACCCTCAACTACATGTAAAAAAACAAAGTATACTTTGCAGTGCACAGCTGGTAAGCTAAGAACAATGCTGTAGGTTTCATTTGAACATTGGTGGATGTTATTAAAGGGATACAGTAGTTCTCTCAAAAATGAAACATCTGTCATTAATTTGCTCATCCTCATGTCATTCCAAACATGTAGGACTTTCTTTCTTCTGTGGATATTTTGAAGATATTTTGAAAAATGTTTCAACTGTCTTTGGTTGTATAATGGCTCAAGTATTGTTTTGGACCCCACTGCCTTTAATTGTATGGACAAAACAAAAAACATTGAGTCATTTTTTAAACTGTCTTCTTTTGAGTTCTGCAAAATAAAGAATGTATACTTTGGTTTAATGCATGTGTCGCTAAAAATCTGATATTCAGACTCTTCTCATTGTGTACAGCTGCTCTAAAAATACAGATCAATGCAAAAGGCCAGCCATCAGGTGTACTGAAGCACTTGAGAGTTGAAAACACAATGATAAGCTTGGGAAGCATGTCTAGTGGGCTTCGCCACTGTGCCATTTGTCCCCATTTTACTGCGACCTTTTGAGTTTCGTCTAAATGAAAAAATACTAATTCTATAAGTGCACCTCCAGCCTGTGGTTACACCTTTTCTTCTTCCCTATACATTTTTAGCTCATTTTAGAGCACTGAGCACTCTTTTTCATCCATCAGTGTGCTTTAACACATTATAAACGCTCAGAAAAGCAACAGCGACCATTTAACCCATCACACTGGCTTCGGAAAAGGCCAGTCACCCTAATCACTCCAATTTCTTTATGTGTGGTGATTTGCCCAGAGCTGTTTTCGCCAGGTGTTGGCCCAGCAGAGCTATAATTGCTGAAAGCACACTGCCTATGGTCTTAATGTGCCGTTAACCTGTGGTTGGTCAAGCTCAGTCCTTTTGACTTTAGCATTTAAAATGGGGAACTTGTAAATGGCTGGCAGTAAGAGAGATGGTGTTGCCCTAAATTTCACCAGGTGCGATATTCATTATGTTGCACATTTTCAGGGAAATTTCAGCAGAACTTGTTTAGTTTTCCTCAAAAACATTTAAAAAATGCAAGGTCAGACGTGTCTGGCACAGAGAAGGGCTGTTGTTAAGCCAATATGTTTCTGTACGTCTGAAATACCAGTGCATAATTCTCTGAGCGTTTCTCTGATTACAGTCATTATTTTTGTTTGTGCAGGGCATGGTCCTCCTCGTTCCATAATGGGGAAAAAAAGAAAAACATGGAGATTGAGAAAAATGCTCGTTTTTCATCATCATTTTGCGAGCATTTATTTTCTATTTTCCACTGTCAAGCATTGTGCCTGCTCTGCTGTGTCTCCTTGTAATACCCTGTTAAATGGAGTGTGAGCCGATGGATTTGGCTGGTCATTTTTCCCCATCTGCGAGTATATCCTTTAATCACATTTAAATGGGAGACCGTGTCAGACATATAATTAAGTACTTTCATATACTTATAGTGCCAATGCAGCCTACACTTCCAGCCAACACTCAGAGAAAGACGGAGACAGAGGAAATGAGGAAGTTAGCTGAAGTGAAAGAGAGACACGGAGAGAGATAAATGTAACTAGGTTTTAAACACTGTAGGATGTAACCTTGCTGTCTTTGACAGGCCCTAGACATGTCTTTCTCTAATACAGGGATCTTAAAGTCAAATCACCTAATTGTTTAAAGCAAATACATGTGTTTTTACATCCACAAATTTGAGTTATAATTTTTATTTAATTTTATTATTTTATTATTTGTATATTTTGTTAAATTTGTTAAAAATCTCAAATTACCTGCCAGTTAAAAGCAAATACAAGTTGTTTTGCACAAAAACACTTTTTTATTTATTTATTAAATTATTTATTTATAATTTATATATAAAATAAAATGCCTCCCAGTTTTACAACCATGCATATCTTTATTTTTTATATTTTACTTTATTTTATTTTACTTCATTTTTTACTTTAACAGTCCTACTAGAGAACTGCAACCATAATGCAGAAAGTAAAAAATTTTATTATTTTATTATTTGTATATTTTGTTAAATTTGTTAAAAATCTCAAATTACCTGCCAGTTAAAAGCAAATACAAGTTGTTTTGCACAAAAACACTTTTTTATTTATTTATTAAATTATTTATTTATTTATATATAAAATAAAATGCCTCCCAGTTTTACAACCATACATATCTTTATTTTTTATATTTTACTTTATTTTATTTTACTTCATTTTTTACTTTACAGTCCTACTAGAGAACTGCAACCATAATGCAGAAAGTAAAAACTGATTTGCAGGCACAATTTCAGGATAAACTACTAAATCTTAAGAGACTGAATTGAAATGAAATGAAATCGTGCAAGCCAGTAGTTAGAGACGCCTTCTGTAATGGCTGCTTTTTTCTGAACACTTAATTTAAGTGTTTTTAAAAAACTTAATTTAAGTTAATTGTTATGACAGCATAAGGAGTGCATGCAGACCACTGTGTGTGTGTGAGAGAGAGAGAGAGAACAAATGTGTGTTTCCTCTTGTCTCAGAACCAGCATGAGTTGGATAGATGAAGTTTGGCCCCTCTGGTCAGATGGGCTCTGTCAAGAGCTCAGTGGTGCTAGACTAATACCTGCCCAATATCTGTCTCTCTCTTTCTCCGTCAGACCATAGAAAACTGTGTATGCATTTTGAGGAACCTCTCGTATCGGCTTGCAGCTGAAACGTCTCAGGGACAGCAGATGGGGACGGACGAGCTGGACGGCCTCCTGTGTAGCGATTCCAGCGGGAAGGAAGGAGAGACCTCGGGCTGCTGGGGAAAGAAGAAAAAAAAGAAGAAGTCCCAGGACCAGGTGGGCCATCCAAAGCAGCATTTACAGGCTGCAATTTGACCCTCACCTGCTGACAGTCACTCTAACACACTTTACTTGGAAATCATAGTCCAGAGTACCATGAAAGAGGCTATTTAAAGTCAACAGGAAATAAAATTTTCTGTTTTTATCATATGTGACCCTGGACCACAAAACCAGTCTTAAGTCGCTGGGGTATATTTGTAGCAATAGCCAACAATACATTGCATGGGTCAAAATTATAAATTTTTATATTATGCCAAAAATAATTAGGATATTAAGCAAAGATCATGTTCCATTAAGATATGTTGTACATTTCCTACCGTAAATATATCAAAACTTAATTTTTGATAAGTAATTTGCATTGCTAAGGACTTCATTTGGACAACTTTAAAGCCGATTTTCAAAAAATTGTTTTTTTTTTTTTTTTGCACCCTCAGATTCCAGATTTTCAAATAGTTGTATCTCGGCCAAATATTGTCCTATCCTAATAAACCATACATCAATGGAAAGCTTATTTATTTAGATTTCAAATTATGTAAAAATCTCAATTTCACAAAATTTACCCTTATGACTGGTTTTGTGGTCCAGGGTGACACATTTTCTTTGTTGTTTCTAGTCTTATTGTATTATTAGTTATATAATATAATATAATGTACATTTATGATATAATGTATTGGATCTATTTTTTGTGTTATCCTATATCCTATATATATATGTATATATATATACAATATAACGATTATTATATTATATTATAATATTATATTAGACAGTTTAATAATGAAAATTGCACTGTTATTATGCAGTGTAATATCGTATATTATACATTCTATTTTTAGATTACATTAGTTTATATGATACTATACACACACATATATATAAACAAAAAGTCAAATCTTGCCCTAATTTTCACTTGTCACATTATGGAAGTAAAATAGCTTGTGAAAGTCAATTTGTGTTGACTGACTAAAGATAGAAGTCTGTATTTCACAATAAAATGCTTCTCTGCTTTTGAAAGAGAGCCCAGCAAAAATGAGGTATTTGATATCAAAATATTAATAACACAATCAGCATATTCAACTTCCTTTTACACCCCTCATTGCCTCAAAATAATCCCAATTTATGTTTCAATGAGCTCCCCAAATAACAGATTTACATGCCACCCTTTAATCAATTACTTCCTCTGCAAACGTAACGCTCACCACCTACACAGAGACACACTGCAGACAGTGAGTTTCCCCAGTGACACACTCTACGGCTGATAAATCTCAGTGTTTGTGGGCGTCAGACTAAAGGAGTGGTGAAAAAACCCAACCTTTTTACAGGCGACTCCTCCATAGCAGAGGAAACTCTTCATTAATCTCACGCAGGAAAAGTCAGCCAGGATCCTCCTTGCAGACACGGAGGTGGGAGAGCAGTTATGTAACACAACTCCCTCTGGAAATGTCCCGTTCCAGAGGAGCCATGAAGCTAATAGCTGGTGATATACTGTAGCCACCGATAGCTGAATATAATCCTCTTTAACTTCGATGCTAGCTACAATAAAACGTGCGTTTGCTGCAAAAGAGATGCTCGTCACAACAACCTCTGGTTGCTACGTACCTAGTAAGACGCAGTAAAACTTTAAAAGCAGTGAGAGTCGAATAATACATTTGAACATTCAAAGATGTATTTCCTTCATTCATTACCTCAAAACCCATACATAAGTTTGCAGATCTGTTTTAGCATTCAGTCAGATGTGTCTCCTCCAATCAGATTACAGAAAGGAAGGAGATGCAAGGATACCGGAGTCGTCCATCTCCGCCTCTTGGACTGTAAAGAGGGCCATTTCTCCCCATTATCTAAGGTGCCCTCTCGTATCATGTGCTGGACCTTCTCTTCAGCCGAGACGCTTTGAAAGAGGACACCTGGGCCTCCGGGCAACAGAAGGCTAATGTACTCTGTTAAATCATTTATCACTAAGTGGCAGCGAGGTAGCCCAGGAAACCAGAGCATGCTGCTCTGCTCTGTCAGGGCAGGGTTTGCTAATTGACTGAGAGGAGAGAGTATGTAAACCAGAGCAATTTCAACCCACCAAGCATTGATACCCTTCTTTGAGTTTACTCTGAGAAATGGGGCATGAAGCGCTCATTATGCTCAAAGCTTGCTGACAGGAAAAGGGTGAAGAGAACGTTTTTGACAATTTGAGATGCTGTTTTATGCTCTGATAGTTCAGAAGAAGCATTAGGATCACATTGTCATTTTTAGATTGAGGGTTTTGGAAAAGCTGAAAGAGTTGCATTTGGGCAGGTTTGACTCATTTTAGATGCCCAAAAGACACATTTTTCTGAAGAAAAAGCTCATGTTGCTCACCAGAGTTTAGGGACTTCATAGTAATGGGTGAATTACAAATACAGATGTGCAATATGATGTAACGGAGAAAACTTTTAAAAGTCATTCACAAAATGATCCATGTTCTTAGAAATGAAGTCTTTGTTGGTTTCATACAGTTTTGTATTTTCATAGATATATTTAAAATCTATCTATTTATCTATCTATCTATCAAAACATGTTCATCATAGAAGAGGTGTCATTATTTTTTAATTATTTAATAGATTTGGACTTAAGCAGTGTGTCTTTGACTCTGATGGCATCCTTAGCAAGCACCTTTTTCGTTGATAAATTATGAAAACAGTTTTGACAGCGATTGTGTAAGGCTGAATGTTTGCGAAATGTTGCCCTCATTGTTTGCATATAGTGAAACCACAGATTAAACCAAGTCTCCTCTCAAACTCTTTCCATTTCTTCTGCGTTCACCGTATGAGAAGAGCAGCAGCCTCACGGGGGCTTCTCCACCCTCCAGCAGTTGACTGAACAACAGAGCCGCTCCTCAGAGCAGGAACGGGGGGGGAGATGAAAACAGACTCATTAATAATGAAGGGAGAGTGAGGCTGAGTGCCAGAGCTAGTTTAAGACGCTGAGGTATTTCACAAGTTGCTCTGCCTGAAAGTAGGTCAGCCTGTGAGACCAGCACTTTTCAAACTGACTCACCCACACGCCTCGAACGCAGACTTGCAGCTCCTGCCCGGTTTTAGGTCTATTCAGGCCACAATTTGTCAAGAGATCTCCTCGTGTGGGGTTTGTGTGTATGTGCAGAGGGTTACAGTCACCTTTTGACCCATACAGAATGACAGCGATTTTATCTCGGGAGTTCGCCAGGTCGCAGTACTGATGGTTGCTAGGAGGCGGATGCCGTAATGTTATTGCTGGTCATAGCTGTAGAAAATCAGATTTAAAAAAAAGAGATAAAAATGAAAATGAAACAATTTTCTTGATGCTAAAAGTGAACAGTCTGGAGGAGATTGTGTTTGTATAGTATATAAACTGCAGCAGTATATATATATAATATAAATATAATATATCATAACATGATGAAGAGAAATCATTATTAATTCATGAATCAAACTCACTTAAAATGCAAACAATTTCTGATGCAGTTTTCCTTGTATAATTTTTTTATTATATAGATATACACTACTGTTCAAAAGTTTAGGATCAGTAAGATAAGAAAAAATAAGAAACTTATTTCAAAAATATTTAAAAAACTTACCGACCCCAAACTTTTGAAATCATACAGAAGAGTAAACTCACATTAACGTCTCTGTCGTATCACGTTTTCTTCACTCACTTCACATTGATGTTTAATTAGCTGCACTTTTATATAGTCAAATTTTTCTCACTGCTGCTCACTGAAAATAAGTCATGTTGCTTTGTCACTGCAGATTTATGTCAGTGTGAATGCCCCTTTGTAAGGGTTTAGATGCTGATGGCGATGGATTTCGTGTGTCTTCCTGCAGTATCTGACTGACTTGTTTTTCATGTCACACTCTTTGTTTCTGTAGTGGGATGGTGTGGGACCACTGCCAGATACTGCTGAGCCCCCCAAAGGGATTCAGATGCTGTGGCATCCTTCGATAGTAAAGCCCTACCTCACCCTCCTGTCTGAGTGCTCAAACCCGGACACGCTGGAGGGAGCCGCTGGGGCACTGCAGAATCTGGCTGCTGGGAGTTGGAAGGTAAGCCCTATGGTCAGTTGCCTTGTGTACGCATCTGTCTGTGCTGGAGATATGGCTTGGTATGCAACAAATATTGTTTAAAATACAAGTAGATTATCTGATAATTATGTGTCAGCATTCATCATTGGTTTTTCATTTAATTATGACTTTTATATATATTGTATATATTGTAATTCATATATATATATATATATAATTTATTTTGTATTCATTTTTTTAATTTTAACTTTTGGTATCTGTCATAGGGCAAATTTTTACTTTCTGTAGGGTTAGGAGTATTTAAAAACATTAAAATAATTTTAAAAAATAATAATAAATATATTCAAATGGTTATCCATTTAATATTTTTGTATAGTTTTATTTTTAATTATTGGTAGCTGTCTGAGTGTAAACCAATGTATTCTTAACATTGAGGGCCTTTAAAAAAACATAAAAATAATTAAATATTTCAATAATACAAAAAGATTAAAATGTTTATCTGTTTATTAATTTACTTTTACACCTTTAAAGTATTACAATTCAGCTTGTCACACACATTTGAATGATGCCGTAATTTATCTGACTTTCTGTGCTATTACTTTCCAAGGCAATCAGTCTTATAATTTCCAAAAAACTCATATATTTCACTGTAGGAAGTATTCTAGAGCCAGAATATTATAAATAACAGTTCTCTTTTGACTTGGTCCACCTAGCATTGGACAAACAACCACATAGCAGCATGATAAGAACCGCTCAGAGCACCTTAGCTTAGCAACACTCTGGTACCTGAGATGGTTTTTTTACTTAAAGTTTTATTAGCTGTTGTCAGGATCTAAATTTATTGAACGGTGCAAGAAGAAATGGTGTAAAATTGCATTTTTCCTGACCTGAAACTGGTTGCTTTCATCAGATGTTTAAACCAGTACCAATCTCCCTCTTGGCCCGTGCTTCTCTCTTTGTTCTCACATCATTTTCACCATCTCTCAGCGTCAAAAGCTTGTTGTACCTCTGTTGCTCGAGAGCTCTAATCCACCCGATGTGCTCTACAAGATCAATACTCTCAGATGGAGACAGATGCAATGGGATTGGATTGGTTTTGAAGTCTCATAACAGGTTTAGACCACCTTCAAGAAGTTAAATGAAAGCGGCGTCCATACGACCCCTCTCCACACCTACAGGCCATGAGGTTGTATTCGTGTTTGCTGTTGTGTTGAGTTTGTTGGAGAGACAAACAGGAAAGCAGTCCAGGTCCCATAATTGGCTGCTCTGTTTGTTCATCTAGAAGAGCTGACATTGAGCCCCCGTCTAATATGTGTGAACTAAGCTCTCTGTTTATGTTTTCAAAGTTCATCTCGGACAGTGGGATTATTAAATCCCACGCTGTGTGTGCTAGGAAATGGAAACGAAGCCCTTAACTTAAGATGGATCAAAAACAGTCAAGCGTGAAGTATGCTTTCTCGTCAAAAACTCCTTTTCAATTACAGTTTCAAGGATATTTATTGCATTGCATTACTTATATGTATTTTTATACAGTTTTAATGAACTGTGATGTTGATTTTCACTAAATGACAGATTTACATTTCCACACACTAATTTTAAGTGCCATTTCTCTGTTCCTAAACCCAGTAAGCTGCCTCTGTGATGTACTTTGCCTGATTTAACACAATTTCCTTTGAACTACACTAAATGAATAAGTGTCGGTGTCAATGAAACTAGCGGCAGATAAAGAGAGCACGCAATCATTCAGATTAGACTGTGCTTTGCTGTTTGTTGATTATGCAACATCAAACCATGAATACAGTATCGATGTGTCAGAGGTGAATATACAGTCAAACCAAAAACTATTCAGACACCAGATATCATTTCTGATATTTTTTACTACTGGGTGCAGGACACTATAGTTCATTTATGTAAGTGAGGATAGCAAAATAAAGTGAACTGTGACATATTATACCCAAAAATTCTTCATACAGTGAACTACCAGTAAAATTGATAAAAATTTGGGACCAAGAATTATTCAGACACTTTGACCTGACCATGTTTTGCTTAAGTGTTATCTGACATTATCAAGAGGTATTTGTTCTGATACAGTTTAACTCTGAGTTCTTGTAATATTTTATTACCATTTTCTAAACTATAGTGAATAAATTGTGATAATGTGTGAAATGTTGAAGGTGTCTGAATAAATTTTGGCTTGACTGTATGCAGGTTATAAAGCATTTTAGGTTTGTGTGTGTTCAAGAAAACCAATGTATGCAGTGAAAGAGGCTTGACTAATAGTTTTATTAAATTTTGTATTTATATCAGTTTTTTAATCAGTGCTTTTCAGTGCTTATTTTGGAAGAAAATGTTTCTTAAGCACCAAATAAGCATATTAGAATGATTTCTGATGATGCTGAAAATTCAGCTTTGTATCGCAGGAATATATTACATTTTAAAATATATTAAAACAGAAAAGTTATTTTAAATTTTAAAAATAATTCACAATATTACAGTATTTTTTATTAAATAAACCTTGGTGAGCATAAGAATCTTCTTTCAAAAAATAAATAAATAAATAAAACGTACTGACTCCAAACTTTTGAAAGATACATTTGGAAAAGGAAAGACACATGAAATGGTTTTGAATTTGTTCAAAATTAGGTGTCTTATAGGGCTGTCAAATGTTTAATCACGATTAATCGCATCCAAAATTAAAGTTTGTGTTTACATATTATATATGTGTGTGTGCTGTATATTTTTATATTTAAGAAAAATATTTTATATTTAGATTTACATTATTTACATATTATTTACATAATATTATTTACATATAGCCTTTGAAACTTTTAATTCTGGAGTGAATTTTTTCTAGGTACGCAGCTTGCGAGGTTTAGGACAGAGCTTCTCTGTCATTGTGTTTTTGTCTCTCTTTTTTTTATGCACACATACAGAGGTCATCAGAAATGAGGAATGTGAGGGGATGCCTGCTGGGCTGTATGCTGCGGTCTCCCCTGTTACAGCAGAAGTGCAGGGTAGCAAAGAGTCTAATCTGAGCTGACACTCCGTCACTGATAAAGGCTGATCCCACAGCTGGGGTCATACATAGAGAACCTCAGAGAGCTAAAGCTCTGAGCTAGTATTAGTCTTTCACTGTAACCTGGGGAGTGTGATTACACTGTCAGCAGGGTGCTGATCCAAAATGAGACACTTTACAGACATTGGTATATCCAACTATGACGATACACTTCATGGTCTCCTGAAAACTGCTGATATGTAGAATTATATATAGTAAAGTGGCCGAATGGTATCATTTGTCATATTTGTTCACCTGTTTGTTTGTTTGTGTGTGTGTGTGTGTGTGTGTGTGTGTGTCTCCCCTAGTGGTCAGTGTACATCCGTGCGGCGGTGAGGAAAGAGAAGGGTCTGCCAATCCTTGTGGAGCTGCTGAGGATAGACAACGACCGTGTGGTGTGTGCCGTCGCTACCTCGCTCAGAAACATGGCCTTGGATGTCAGAAATAAAGAGTTAATCGGTACGGCCCTTTTTTTCCTTCTCTTGACTGTCTTCTTTTATTTTATTAGTCACTGTGATTCACTTTGTTTCAAATGGTTCAAAACCATTGGATTTGTAGTGCTCAGGGTTAACAGTTGTGGTCTCTTTGGCTTCTCTCTAATGAAGTCCAGTCTCTTATGTTTTAGCCAGTGTGGTAAAGAGGGCCATTCGTAGCTCTCAGCTCAGAGGAAGATAACTGTCATTTTATTATTACACATTTCCTGCCCACTCATCATTTTAAATGGGTTAGCAGGCATCAGGCTGCACTTGCACATTCTAGGCTTGTGTAACTGTATATACAGTATAGTGTATATATTTTTGGTTTTGTTTGGGGTTTTGGGATTTCTTTATTGCTGACTTTACTAAAAGTGACATGCAACTCAAAAGTTTTGCATTTGTGTATGGAGGCTACTCAAAGGGTCGTTCCAAAGTGACTGTTTGATTATTATTTTTGTTTTGTTTTTTGTTTTGTTTTAGTCTGGTTTGTTTGTTTGTTTAGTTTTATTGTTTTTTTTAGTCTTTATTGTGTAGCTAACTTTACTAAAAGTGACATGCAACTCAAAAATGTTGATGTTTTGCATGCTACTCAAATAGATGATCCTATTGAACTGTTTTAATTTTTATTTTGGATTTTGTTTTGTTTTGGTTGTTTTAGTTGTTGTTTTAGTTTGGTTTGGTTTTTGTTTGGTTTCTTTTTTTATTTGTTTTGTTTTGGCCATTTAGTTTGGTTTGGTTTTTTTTGTTGTTGTATTATTCTGCTGACTTATTCTGTCTTTTTGTTGTTGTTTGTTTTTGTTTTGGCCATTTAGTTTGGTTTGGTTTTTTTTGTTGTTGTTTTATTCTGCTGACTTATTCTGTCTTTTTGTTGTTGTTTGTTTGTTTGTTTGTTTTTGTACTGTTCAGTTGACTTTACTGAAAGTGGCAAAGGTTTTGGAGGTTTTTCAGAGGGTTAATCCAAATAAAACTGACCAGCTGTCTAAATCCTTTCACAAAGGGCCCTTCCTCAACACCATTAACAAAGCTTTCATATAAATCTCACTTCAAGAAAGCAATTTTGTAATTTCTGCTCATGTGATACCTGGTGAAACATCCTCACAATTACTTATGTAAACTGGGGACATTTATTTGTTACTCACAAACCCAAAATAAAATATAAATTTCTTATTATTGAACCTATTTTCTTGTCTGTTTACCGCAAGTGCCACTAAAAGCAGTACACAAGTTAAAATAAATTTGAATTAATGATACAAGGCCAAATTTTATTTTAAATTTTAATTTTAATTTAGGTTTCATTTGCTACAAGTGTGAGGATAAATTTTGCTGTTTTGCTACTAAGGGTAACAATAATATACAATATAGGCCTATCTTTGTGTGAGGGGTTCCAAATGTGTACACATAAGGCAGTCAAGCCCTGCACCCTTCAGAGTGCTCACTTCAAGTGCTGTGTCCTTCAGAATGAGTAGGGCATAGTTATGTTCACTTTCAGTGGAATTCGCCCAATATCTTGTTGAGTGGTACTTCATCACGTTTCCACTTTTTAGGACAAGATTAACATGGAAGAGATGAGAGTTTCATGGCTTGGCGCACTGCACCGCATTAGAAGAGCTCAGGTTATGCCTCTGAATAGTGAGGACAATGTGTTCATGGTCTTTGTGACTTTCATGGTCATTGCTGAGTAAGAATGAGCCTTTTCTGTTTCTGTAAGCATACAGTACAAGTAGTTCCCTCATTGTTTACTCTTGGCGCAGAGGTGAAGTGAGTTAAAGTGACTCTGTACTTATTTAGGGTAGTATAATTATACTTCTCCTTCATGACTATATCCACACCTGTCCATAATTGATATTGTTTCCTCCAAACGTGTCAGAAGCATTGAGGTTCCTGCAATTGGGAGCTGACCTTACCGTCATACTGAGATGCAGGTGCTTAGCGTTACACTACTTCTGAATTAGACATATTAACGAGTACATGACACAGCATCACCAGGCTCCGTCTGAATGACAGGAAGTGGTCCACCCGAGGTCGCCGTTGTCACATGTTGACCCGCCGCATCAGGTGCTAAATTAGAGCTTGTTTTCTTCCTTCCTTCATCCCATCTCACACTGATTCACACCATTTGAAATTCTCTCAGTGACATCACCAACAGACTATTGATCTCACCTGCTAATAAATGTGGTTTCCCTGGTGAGTCTCGCCATCTCCATGGCAACGGCTCCCCAGTCTCATTCTGCCGCTGGTTTCAGGCCCCCTCTCAGCTCCCCCAACAACTGGTTTGCATTTGCCACCTGGAGTCTGCCTAGATTTGCACATCATCCAAAATCATTTTAGATTATGCAGATTGCATTGTCTTCATTATACATTGCCATGGAAATGTGCTTCCTGTCTTTGTAGATTTAGCATGTTTCTCAGTAGATTATGCTAAATAAATTGCATACGGTACATGTGATGTACAAATAAATGTATATTTTTATCAGATTGCAGAGTTTAAGAGTCCATATATAGAGTACATTTAGACTCTAAATCAATTCTAAATTGATTCGTATTGAGAAGTGTGTGCAGTAAACACAGTCTGTGACTGGCAGCTATTCTCACAATTTGCTTTTTTAGACAGTTCAACATGGCCATCCATCAAAAGCTTTTGAGAGCCATGAGCAATAAAATCATTTGAAACTTCTCCCACAGTCTCTTCCTTTCATCCGTGCAGTGGTGGACAGTAACGTAGTCCATATCAACAACAAAAATATATCTTGACTCCATATAGTGGTTATTTTGGGAAAATCCCAGGGATTTTCAGCAGTAGGATTATAAAACATATGTGCTGATATAAATTTAAATTAAGTAGCCTATATAAAATTGCAAAATGAATCTATCTATCAGTACTTTTTTACTTAAGTACATAAAAAATCGAGTACTTTTGTACTTTCACTCGAGTAAAATTGAAAAAGGAGTACTTTTACTTTTACTGGAGTAATATTTTATTATACGTATCTGTACTTTTACTCAAGTACTTGATTTGTGTACTTCGTCCACCACTGCATCCGTGATTTATTTAACATGTTTGATCACTGAATCTATATTTGAACTCATTTTACATTTAGCTCAGGGATGAAAACTGGGCACATGAAATGCATATAAATGGCCAATTCAATCCTGCCGTTTGATCACGTATTAAAATAAAGATTGATTGTTTGTATAAATGAATTTAACAGCCTAAGTTCAAAGCATCAGCCTATATCCTGGAGCTTTGATACTGTATGCTGATAAACAGCACATTGTAAGATCATAAAATTCAGATAAGCTTCTTTGGTGTTGGATGCCTTATTTAGATTTTTTTTTAACATGAGGTTAAAAGAGAATTAATTTTGATGCATTTGAATTCATTTTGGTTTTATGTGTACAGTGAATGCATATATATATATATATATATATATATATATATTACATTTATATATTTTAGCTGTAACTATATTGATATATATTACTCTATACAATTATATTGATATTGATTTTGATATTGATATTGATACTGATATAGTTCTGTATGTTGAAGCAGCAAGACATCCATTTATTTCACTTTGGGTGTAATGAAGAGGTTCATTGTTTGAATATTGGAGATGAACAACAAGAGATGATATCACTGATCAGTAGTTTTACCAGGTTTTGATTATTCTGTAAATATCATGTTTTTCCCACAGTTCGCTGTTCAGAGAAATCTCACATCTCATTGGACTGCCTCCATATTGTCAGCTCACGCAAGACAGACGATTTTGCCTGCGGGTACAAGATAAGAAGGCACCAATTAACTGGAAGCTTATTGGTGATAAAACGGAGCTCTTCTGCAGTATGCTTCATGTAGAAAATGATGTCTGTGTTTCTCCTTCTGAGACCATTTGGAATTAGCGGAAAGAATTAAACAGCCTTAGATTAATTTCATTAGCTGTGATAGAATAATAGGGTGCCAGAAGGAGAAGGACTTCTGCGTTTCAAAGGTCAAAATATTGGAGCGCTAGGATGATTAAAGTGGCAGCATGAAATCTGGAAAATACTCTATTGCAAACTAGTTTCTTGTTCTTCTTGAAACTGGACGGCTATTTCACAGAAATATCTTGTAGGCTTGTGTTCATACGCCAGTTTTATCATTAATACAGATGTCCACATAATAGCATTTCATGTTTTGTTCGCATTTAAATGTAAAAATTCTCTGGAGCTGCAAAACAACAACAAAATGAAAATTGTAGACACTTGCCATCTTTGCTAGTGGGCTTCCTTGAAGCTATTTACATTTATCCAAAGCAGAACTAAATGTGTGCATGGTAGGCATTTCTAGACCTTAGATTTTCTTAAGTGCAAACAACAAATATATAATGCCCTATTTTGACATGGCAGTACCAGTATTTCTGTTGTTGAGATCACGGTAATACAAGAACTTCTACAGTCCCTTCACTGGCCCTTTGCAGGTCTGTGGAAGGAACTTGTCAAAGCAGCATTGAAAAATAATAAGCAGGCCCTGCCTACAAGTGATGAAATCATGTACAAGCTGTTATAATGGTGTTAATTGTATGTAGGAGATTTAGTCTTCTCTTAAATACTCTTTCTCTTTATTTCTTTTAAAGGGGTCATATGATGCGATTTCAAGTTTTCCTTTCTCTTTGGAGTGTTACAAGCTGATTGTGCATAGATAAGATCCCTGGTTCTTAAAGAGATAGTTCACCCAAAAATTAAAGCTGTCATCATTTAGGCTACTCAGCATCATGTCATTCCAAACCTGTATGAATTTCTTTCTTCTGTGGAACATAATAGAAGATATTTTGAGAAATTCAAGAAATGTTTGTCCATACCGTAGAAATCAAGAGTAACCAAAATGGTTTGGTAACATTCTACAAAATATCTTTTGTGTTTTACAGAATAAGGTAAGTCATACAGGTTTGGAAAGACATGAGGGTGAGGAAAGGATGACAGCATTTATTAGCAGTAAATTTCCTTTGTTCTAGCACAAAATCAATGCTTATACTGTCAAGTGCATTTCTATGTGACAAAAATGCAGTAGGCTATTAGTCTGTGTGTAGTTAGTGCTGCTCAATGTGAAAGCACGCACGTGATGGAGATTTACTGCTGATTACAGAATGGCTTTACTGATAAGATGCGCGTTAAATATCGCATGCGATTTATCGTGCAGCCCTATTTCAAACCCTGATCTCACTATTTAAATGTATACATCACAATTTAAATTTATATCTCACAGTGTGGCATAATATCTCATAATGTGACTATATCTCAGTGTGGCTTAAAATCTTAAAATATGACTTCATATCTCATAATGTGACTATATCTCACAGTGTGGCCTACTATCTCATTATGTGGCTTTAAATCTCACCGTTTGAATTTCTATCTCATAATGAGGCTTAATATCTCATAATGTGACTTTATATCTCACAGTGTGACAATATGATTATTTATTTTTATTTTTACTTAATCTTAACATTTAACCATAAGGTTATCTCACATAGGCCTGTCTTGTTTCCTGTCCTCTGTGCATGTGGATCAATGCCGTTGTTTCAGACGGTTGTAATTCCAGGGTAAATTGCTGTGGTCCTCCTTTGTATGACATTAAAAGTCTGTGTAAGCAAACATTATATTTGCCACTTTGAAATGGCTTCTATGTGGACTAAAACCTCTCTTGGCAAATTTAACCATAATATAATTGGCTCATCCCTTACACCACTGGGTGAGGAAAGAGCACTCAACATCCTGTAGCGATCATTGCGCTTGTGATTGCCTGTTAATATCTCTTAGTGTGTTATGGCATAAATTTGTCTCATGTTTCACCGACACAAACACATAAACTCAAGAATCATATTGTTTCTCCCACTGGTCAAGATCTTTTTTCAGTGCTGTTGAGTGTTGCCAAGTCAATTTAAATTACACATCCCCTGCTGTTCTTTTAATGTCAGAGTTTTCACACTTTCTCATATTTTATTTCCTTTGTTCAAGTAGCATGAGTCATATATCCACGCTGCAGTCAGGATAACACCCCCTCCATAGAAATCCAGCGATGTTTAAACCGACACATCTGACACTCTTGAATTGTTGCAGCTCCTGCATTATTATACTCTAAATTAAGAATAAATTGTAGCACAATAGTCATACTGACTGAAAAATGTCATCCTGACTATCATAATTATTCCAGTGCTAATCACCGTATTCTCATATGCTCTTTCTGTCTATTTTTTCTCTTTGTCTAGGTAAGTATGCCATGCGAGACCTGGTGCACCGGCTCCCGGGTGGGAGCAATGCTAGCGGAAGCAGCGGGGGTACGGCAAACAGCACAGCGGGTAAAACCATGTGCGATGACACCGTTACGGCTGTATGTTGCGCCCTACACGAGGTCATCACCAAGAACATGGAGAACGCCAAGGCCTTACGAGACGCCGGTGGCATTGAGAAGCTCATCGGTATTGCTAGGAGTAAAGGAGATAAGTAAGTTGTCTTTTCTTTTTTTTTTTTTATAATAGGCTTTCATCTTATCACTAACCTCTAAAATGGCCTGAAGTGTGTGTGCGCTAACCACTAGGCCATGGCTTTGTTTTTGCTTGTGCTTTCATGGACCCTGAGAGCTGGCCAGTTATTTTGTTCACCAGAAACTGTGCATTGCTCTTGGAGACATTTTATTTTTCAGCTACGCAGTTCTACTTTTATTCCAGCACCTTTTCAATGAGATAAACATTATGAGTCAGACCTCAATAAGCATTTCATGAACTTCAAGGCTTCCACATTGTCTACAGATGTTCAGCTAAATCATATATACATCAGCAATGCACCCGACACAAGTCGCTTATTCAGTGCTTGCTGAACTGTAATGAAGAAAAGCAAACATGGAGGTAGAACACATTCACTTTTGCCATAATAGACAAAAAGAGCTGATGTTTGTATTGCTGCATCTCTGAGAATAAAGCTAAATGTCACAAGAGGCTGTATGTAACAAAGATTTTAACACAGTTAAGGGGTGTTATCTGCCATTACAATGCAGGGGGAAAAACCTCCCTTAACTTTGGTAAAAACCACTGTGTAACAGCCTTGACACTGGTTTATTGGTTTTGGGAATCACCAGAAGATATACAGAGTGGTCCTGATGAGATTGCAAACTGCTGTAATTTAAACCTGAAAGTGAACCGTTTTGTTTTGTTTTGTTTTTTGTTTTGTTTTATTTGCATAGAGTTACTGGAAACCACAACAAATTCCTTGGGTTTGTTGCCAAATAAAGTTAATTTCTCATTCTGAAAAAAAAATTCTATCTTTTTTTAATTTTATTTTGTTGTTTGATAAGGAGGATTATAGTATAATTAAAAATGTATTTAAAATGTACTGCTATTTTATATATTTTTTTATTTTCTTGTTTATTTATTATATTTATTTTTATTGTGCCCCCTATTTATAGATTTGGTGTATTAATATAGATGTATTCAGTTGCAATACATGGCATGTTATTACACGCAACAGGTGTTTCAAATGTGCTTCATCCAATCATATTTTATAATCATTTATTGATCAAGCCTTTCTATATGCTGCTTGCTTTAGTCTCTTAGAAACAGCAAGTGTAGGCAGCCTGACAGTGAGTACGTTTACATGGACCACAATAATCCGATTTTAATACAATTAAGACAATACTCTGATTAAGGATTGTGTGCCATTAATCGAACTATGTACTATAACATGTAAAACGGGAACATGAAAGGAATATTCTAAAAGCAACTCATGTAAACATCATAATCATAATATTGGCTTATTTAGAATAAGGTAAATAATTAGATTACTGATGTCCATGTAAACGTAGTCGGTGAGTGATGACACTGTCAAAGACATTAGTCCGACCCTCATCAAACTGACACTTCATGCGACTGCTTTATATCCGCATCAGATATTCATACACTGTCCCCGCCCCGTTCGAGCCAATATGGCGATGACAGCTGCTTCCAGTTTCCTGCTGAGAGGTTATCAAAGGGACAAGCAACTCGGGTGCTTGTTTGTCTGGATATAGCACAAATGCAACCGGTTGATTTAGTACCGGCATGTGGCAGCAACCAGCGTGCTTGTTGTGATATGCATCAGATTTGATGACTTTTTTGATTTGAAGTGGATTTATTTGGTGCAGATTGTGATATGTTCTCAACACATCATGCATGACAAAGCAAAATAATGAACTCACTGCTCTTGAATGGATAACTTTTTTTAATAAGCTATTTAAAAAGCAACAAATACAGAAACTGCTTTTATATATATGTATTAAAAATCTACTGTAATTTAAAACTTTTTCCCAAACATATTATTTGGCACACAACTTTTCGCTTACTCTATGGTTTCCATTTGTGAAATCTGCACTTATGCTAACTTCACAGCAAATCTGACAGACTTTGCGGCCTTACATCACCAAATAAGGGAGTTTAATTTGAGATGGGGCCTGACTCGACTGAAGATCTGAGCATGTTAAAATCCATGTTGAAAAATGAGGGGAGGGACAAATCAAACATACAGCTCCACCTCTAAGAATCCATTTTGCCATTTATGAGAGGAAATGATGAAGGATGAGCAGCATTCATTTCCTCTATTAAAGCCATGTTCACTCAAGGACGGTAAAGATTTTCCTCTAACTTCATTTCAGGTGGCAATTGTAAACTGTTCCATTGTGTCCTTTGAGCTGAAATGGATTGACTCGGCTCAGCGGAAGACAAAAGACACAGCTGTTCTATCAAATCAGCTGAAGTCAAACAATTTGTGTCATTTTTGAGAACCAAGAGATTGTTTCTTTTGTTTGTAGTGCATTGTTAATCATAACAAAAGCTGCTGTCCGTGTGAGATGTTTGCACAGAAAGCAGAGAAAGCACATTCACGGCATCAAATGCTATCTGAGCTCAGTGTACCTGGATTGGTTTCTCATTTTCCTCTGTTATATTTTGGTATTGGCATTTTGATCTTAGAGTTAGGATATTTTGTAAACATTTTACCATTAGTTTGCTAAAAAATGTGTTGTTTTAGATGCCATATTATATTGTTATATTGATGTGCTGCATATAGATCAACTGGAGAATTGGGTTTAACTCAGGCTTGTGTGTTCAGTTCATACAACACAACATCAAAAGCACACTACTTTTAAAGTCTGGGGTTGGTAAGATTTTTTCTTCTCTAATGCTCACCAGGGCTTACTTTGATCAAAATACAGTAAAAGCAGTTTAAAATAAAACAAGTTAAAACTATTTAAAAGAACTGTTTTCTATTTTAATATATTCAGAAATGTAATTTGTTCCTGTGGTGGTAAAGCTGAATGTCCAGCATCTTCCCAAACATACTATTTGGCACACAACTTTTCGCTTACTCTATGGTTTCCATTTGTGAAATCTGCACTTATGCTAACTTCACAGCAAATCTGACAGACTTTGCGGCCTTACATCACCAAATAAGGGAGTTTAATTTGAGATGGGGCCTGACTCGACTGAAGATCTGAGCATGTTAAAATCCATGTTGAAAAATGAGGGGAGGGACAAATCAAACATACAGCTCCACCTCTAAGAATCCATTTTGCCATTTATGAGAGGAAATGATGAAGGATGAGCAGCATTCATTTCCTCTATTAAAGCCATGTTCACTCAAGGACGGTAAAGATTTTCCTCTAACTTCATTTCAGGTGGCAATTGTAAACTGTTCCATTGTGTCCTTTGAGCTGAAATGGATTGACTCGGCTCAGCGGAAGACAAAAGACACAGCTGTTCTATCAAATCAGCTGAAGTCAAACAATTTGTGTCATTTTTGAGAACCAAGAGATTGTTTCTTTTGTTTGTAGTGCATTGTTAATCATAACAAAAGCTGCTGTCCGTGTGAGATGTTTGCACAGAAAGCAGAGAAAGCACATTCACGGCATCAAATGCTATCTGAGCTCAGTGTACCTGGATTGGTTTCTCATTTTCCTCTGTTATATTTTGGTATTGGCATTTTGATCTTAGAGTTAGGATATTTTGTAAACATTTTACCATTAGTTTGCTAAAAAATGTGTTGTTTTAGATGCCACTGTTATATTGATGTGCTGCATATAGATCAACTGGAGAATTGGGTTTAACTCAGGCTTGTGTGTTCAGTTCATACAACACAACATCAAAAGCACACTACTTTTAAAGTCTGGGGTTGGTAAGATTTTTTCTTCTCTAATGCTCACCAGGGCTTACTTTGATCAAAATACAGTAAAAGCAGTTTAAAATAAAACAAGTTAAAACTATTTAAAAGAACTGTTTTCTATTTTAATATATTCAGAAATGTAATTTGTTCCTGTGGTGGTAAAGCTGAATGTCCAGCATCATTACTCCAGTCTTCATTGTCACATGATCCTTCAGAAATTATTCTGAAATGCTGACTTGCTGCTCAAGAAACATTTCTTATTATCAATGTTGAAAACAATTGTGCTGCTTAATATTTTTGTAAAAATTGTGATGCGTTTTTTTACAGGATTCTTTGATGAATAAAAGTAAATAAAAGTAAAATAAATTTCTGAGAAAAAATAAATCTTACTGACCCCAAACTTTTGAACGGTAGTGTAATTTTAGTTAAAGAAAGTAGTTAATTGTTTTTTCATTGCATTAGAATTTGTTTTAATAAATTGCTTTTCATTTTATTGCTATTTTTATTTTTATGTTGTTTAATAATATTCCTTTTAATAAATAAATAACATATTAAGAAAATAAACAATAATATAAATATGATTTAATATACAACCATTTTATATAATTATTAGATAAAATAATTTACTTATTGTAATAAATCTTCCAGTGATATGCTCTTAAAAAATGATCAAATTTTAACAGATAATAATGAATGCCTGTTGAAACATATGTCCATTTATTGCTGTTGACTCTACTTGTCTGTTTTCTTCTCTCTCTCACACACAGACACTCACCTAAAGTGGTAAAGGCAGCATCTCAGGTTCTCAGTAGCATGTGGCAGTACAGAGATCTCCGGAGCCTTTATAAGAAGGTAGGAGACCTGCTTCCACTCATGACAGCTGTGTCCCACTTCATTCGTCCCAACCTGAGGAATTCATTTAGCATGCTAACTGAATGAAATCGAATTAAGACATATGGAGTATTCCTATTTTAGTCGCGTTACTGAAGTCGCGTCGCATGGTGACATAATGATGTGTGCCATTAATCGACATCACATGACTGTGATGTCATCACATGAGTGCGACATCACATAACTGATCTCCCACTCCCACACCATTTTGTTTGAACTTTTAGAGACAATAGTTTAGAATCAAAACTGGAGAGCTTTGTTCCCCTCCTCCCTGACAAAGATGTGCGACCCACTATTTATTCAGCACAACACCTTGTAGCCGACTGAAAACATTAATCCGCACTGACAAGCAAAGAATGCTCTATTGAGCAGTAATGGCCAGGCTGAAGAGATATTTCCATTCAATAAGTGCTTGTTGCACTTACTATTGTGTGTATCTGTTCAGACGTCTCCCTTGCAGATTATTGAGGCAAACTTTGGCCTTGGCTAGCGCTGACTGCATTCAGAACGTATTGTATGGTCTAAACAGCATGGTGAATAGACTGATGTGAGGAGACCTTGTATGAATGTTGCCATATTTCTGTGCAACAGCAATTAAAAGCAGATTTATTTTCATTTCCAAGCCAAAATTTTTAGCTAGCATTTAGGGGCATTAAATAGACAATGTGCTCATAAAATTACATTTAATTAAGGGCAATAGGAATTAACCTATTTACATGTAGCCAGACCTCTCGTGTTGCATTCAAACACAGATAATGAGCAGCCAAAGTAGAGTTAAACATTAACAAGGTCAAACCAAACCAAAATGTTCCCAAATGAACTACTAGTAAGAGCATGAGAATGGAAATTTTGGGTTGTGACAGACCACCGTCCCAGAAGCCTCTAGGCTGCGAGAACACACCGTTCCCGTTCGCTGAGCACTCTCTGTCCTGACAGATACAACACTGAGTGGTGAGGGACGTCCTGGACCGAGCTCTATAATGTGTCGTTTCGTCCACTTGGCTCTGCAGAGCAGGCGTCAAAGAATTACAGCCCACGGAGACGGCAACGGATGCCATGCTGCCCTTTAGAGATGAGAAAAGGCCAAGAGCCAGCTGCCTGCACCGCTGAGATGAGTTTAGAAGTGTGTCTGTGGAAATAGTGGTGCCCCCTCCCCATTCTGTGTCAGAGAGCGAGCACAGCGTTGGGTGAATTCACAATGCCTGTTTGAAAATGTCTGTAATGATATGTAATTATGGATGTTTGTGAGTTTACCCCCGCTGAGCTCATCGCCATCAAATCCAATGTCGAATTACGAGCTCTAATTTCATGTGCACATACTATTAATTAACCTCTCTGTCTTTTTTAAATATTTAGAGGGTTGGACGAAAAGGTACCATGTGTAGATTATAATGAAAGAGAGTAATTAGATAGAACGCCGATTCCCATTATGCTAGCTGACTAAATATCTATAAATAATATCGAACAAAGACCACAGCGCTCACAGGTTCACAGTGGCGTTGTGTTCGCATGCCGCCTTGAGGCAGGTTATCGAACAGCTGCTTTAGCTGATGCAGATAAAGTGATGAGGTCAAGGACGTGGAGGACAGCCAGAGCTATAAATGCATCATCAGAGAGGCCGAAGTCGTTAAATCTACAGTAATACTTACAGTTCTCAGATTGGTTTGAGATATAGAGCTCTATGGATAGAGCTCCCCCATATAGGCTGGGTTTGCAAAGATTTTTAAAACCTCCCGCAACCTAACCTGTTTCCTCCATCCCAGCTGAGCCCTGGAAATGTCACCGGGGATGGTATTAAGCAAAGGGCAGCAAGAAAGAGATTGCTATTATTAACATTTGCAGAGCCACGTCTCTCATCTCATGAGTGCATAATGACAGTTGTTCCACGTGGATGTGTCTTTCTCTCCCTCCGCTGAAATGAAAGGTGTCAATTGGATGAGTCGGGCCACCTGAGGCGCGATTCTTTGTGTTTTTGGTGGTGTGATGGATGAAGCCAAGAGAGAACAGGGAACACAAGAGGGAAGGAAAGCAAAAACAAGAGGTTTGGGAAGTCAGACACCTCCCAAGGCTGTGAACAATGGCCTCGTGCCCAGGAAGCATCTGTGATCTTTTGGTTTTGATGCTTCTAGCCAGTATGGGAGGAAGTTGTGTGTTATGGAGTTTAACAGTCTTTAATAATATTCGTAGTTCTTGCGCGTTAAATATCGCATGCGATTTATCGTGCAGCCCTAATATATATATATACTGTATATAAAGCCTGAATGATTCATAAATTTATTGTTTGAGTTTGTGCATTGCATTTATGCTCTAGGGAGGTTCAGATGTACAGTAAACAGATTTTTTGCAACATTTGAAAATTGCTTTTTGAAAAGTTTTTGGCCTATAATGCATAAATATTTATAATTTTGCATAATAACATGTATTTAATTCATATAAAGTTACAGCAGTTGATCTGCTTAAACAGAAATCTTTGAAGTGCAGACGGCTTCCAGCTCCATCTACTAATAAGGTGTGTGTGTTTGTGAGAAAGCCCAGAAGCGCTTGGCTTGATTTACTCAGTATGACGTAGAGCCGGACTAAGATGAAGTAAAGTTCTTGCCTGAGAGAAGAGAGAAGTTGCTTATGCCATTGATCTTGAGCCTAAAGCCTCACACATGTTGTGCTGAGAGGTGTTACATTCAGCCTGGCAGCCTCCTGAGATGCAATTCCACAGTCATCCCTCCCCAACACTCTCCACAAGGAAGTATCAGGGAAGTCAATTGCCTCAGCGACCCAAGGGAGCCAACGCAGCAAGAGCAACGCTCCTGGCTCCATCCGCCTCTGGGAGCATAATAATGAGCGCTTGCCATTGGCTTGCTTCAGTGCACATTTCCACACCAGAAGTTATTTTTTTTCTGTCTGACTCTTAAGCAGCATTATTGAGGAATCACGGATAGGCAGGTTGCCATAAATTACTCATCTTTGCATGGTCTGCTTGGTCTTTTCAGTCTTGGTCTGAGTCAGAATCAGTCCTGTAATGGTGCTTCATGCGTTCAACTGGAATTAGCAGAATAAATTGAGGGTTTTGGGTTTAAAAGATGCACATGCATTTAACATTCACCATTTTTACACCTCAAGAGCAGTTGCCTTAGCACAAAAGTCCATCAATTTAACCAAAAAGAAAGAAAGGAGTTATGGGATGTAATGAACACAAAAAGATTATTTAATCACATTGAAACTCAGTCTTCCCTGAAAGTATTGTTTTCAAATATTGGAAACGTCTTCAAAAGAAGTATCCATCCATACTGGTATCTTCTATTGCACAGCATTTGCTCATCATCATAGAGAATAAAAGTAAAAGTTTTCATTTCTTTCTCATGTTTGAACCTGAAATTTCAAGTAACACTTAGAACAGCGTGAATAAAAGGAAATGACAAACTCCCCTACTGAAGAGGTCTTTAGTCGACAGGCGACAAGTACTGTTTTTTCCTTGTTCCGTGCCTCTCTTCACGCCCCTTGGAGCCTTCAAATACCTGTCCAATGTCATTATTTGCAACAGGCACATTAGGTGGAGAGCGGTGGTTTCTCCTGCCAGAGTTTCTGCCATGCTGGGAAAGTAGGGCAGCTTTGAACGGCACAGAGTCGGAGGGACCGACCGTTTGATCTATTCCTCACCTTTCCAACAAAAGGAATGTCACGGAGGGGCAAATGGGATGTCAAGGGTAGTGTTCTGTGTTCCTGTTAGAGGGCTTGTTCAAGTTTTCAGATGTTCTGCTTGATTCCTCATTGTACATCAGTAGCCTGTTTGCACAAATCTAGCTAAATCTTCATCTTCATTATTGAGCCATTCTGAGACCTTGTAAGATGTTAAAGTTTTGTAATAGGATGAAATTGTTTTCACACTGCTTATCTTTACTGATTTTGGTGGTTTTACGCTCGTACTGTGCTCTGCATTAATGTCTGCATGAATCAGCTGTATGAATCATTTGATCATTTATTCAGTGAGTGAATTTATTTATAATCTGATACATGCTCTTAAAGACACAATATGGAATTTTCACCACTAGAGGGCGAATATTCAAAACAAACAAAGAAACAAATGCATAGTTTGATGACTGCTTCCGCTCATTCCGGTCATGTGTATGTTGGGTAAAGCAGTGCTGTTTTATCATACTAGATACATTTGATTGTGTTGAAAGTTCTTTTATAATGCTACTCTGTGCGTTCGCTCGGCAGCTGCTATGAGACACTTGTTGAACACTGCAATAAGCTACATCGATACTAGAATATCATATTAATAAATGCTGGATGGCTTGCTAAATGGCATGCAATTGATTTTAAAATATATTGTATGATGCTTTATTACTGTTACTACAAATAAAACTGTATCTAATTATGCAATGTTAGCCACTTGACAAAATAGTCTTTTCTCTGAGGCATGGTAAAAGCATGGTACTCGCAGTAAATCAAGAAAACGAGATTCAATCAATAAAGGTGCATTCACGCCATGTCGAGATACCAACTTGTAAAAAGCATTTGCGTCCTCGTAGAACTCGTAATTACAATTTGTAAACTGGAAATTTTCTAAGAGCTACCACTGTACCACCTGACCGCCTCAGATTCATTTAGGTGTTATGTTTAGGTGTTGATAGTGTTGCCATAGAAATGCATAATTCCGAGTGCAACTACTTGAACATCTCCGATTAGAATGTCACGTGCTGTCATCTCGAAATTATCGTAATTACGACATGGTGTGAACACAGCATAAGACTATACAGCGTGAGCTATATAACAGAGATTTCTCTGGATTTAAACATTCTTGGAAACATTTGGGTATAATGTAAGTACACAAGTCAACAAAATATATAACACAGTTTTAGTGGTTTTTGGATATTTTAATCAAAACAGTCTTACATATTGTGCCTTTAATATCTTATACAGGCAACTTAATCCACTTAGAGAGTGTATTCCAGCCTTTAGTTGCTCTTTTTTAATAATGCAGTATATGACTGTCTGCTCTCAGCACACTCGGCAGACCCGTTGATTGATGTTCGCAAAGACGTGTCATAGAGCCAGTGGCCAATGGCTTTAGTTTATCTCCTCCATCAGCCTTTCAGGTTGCTTCAATCACACATCAAACAGGCTTTCTCCACAGCCACTGACTCCAGATCATTCGTCCATTGATTTCTATACCTCCATCTGCCCATTGATTTTTGTAATGACTCCACACTAGGAGGCCTTAAACTAAACTGACAGGATAACAGTGGGCTAATGTAGCGTACATTGATACTAAAAAAAGGATGTTGTGTTGTGCACCCTCATCTAATAAACAAAACAAATTGATGTATGCATTATTGTAGACTTTTCTCTGTTTCTTTCTTTATTTTTCTAGGATGGCTACTCACAGTATCACTTTGTTGGCTCGGCCTCAACAATAGAGAGAGACAGACAGAGACCGTACTCATCCTCACGCACTCCGTCAGTATCTCCAGTCCGGACGTCCCCTAATAACCGATCAGGTGAGTATACGTATTTATCTTTCTCAACAATGACAACATATACATTTTACATCTGCAGTGCTGAAATATTGAGTTGCTGTCCATGGTCCTGAAATCCCAGCTCTACAGTCTGGATTTAAAACAATTACAAACAGCAGGTTGATTCTCTTTTTAACCCTGATAGAATCCTATTAAACTGATGGGGATTTCTCAGTGCATCCTGGGACTCAGGGTTAATGGTCCACACTACTATTGGGGTTAGTGGATTCATGGCCGGCTGGTTGTGGCTCTAATACCTTTTCCGGTGGACTTAGCATCTCGCTGAAGCAGAAAAGTACTTTTCCCAGATTCAGAATTTGAGAGGGCCGTTGGTGGAGGAGGCTGAGCAGCAGAAGAGGGAATTTTAGGATTAATGGGTCTTTAAATGGCTGGAAGGCGAACAGAGTGATGAAATTAAGTTCTTTCTTCCTTTAATGCAAAATTTAAGTGATACGTTAAATTTTGTATAGAATTCCTTCCCAGGCCATTTCATCTATGATGAATATATAGCCAGTGTTATCCTGCAGTTTTAATGTTTTTTTTTTTTTATAATATAATTATGTATATTGAGTAAAATATAAGTATATATTAAATTTTTTACTGTATTTTATATTTTATGATAAAAATATATAATAATAATATTATTCCCAAAAAACAGAACCAGTCAGTAACAATATTGATTTCAACAAACCTTAACTACAGAAAATAGTGATTGGTTTGATTTTAACATGACTGAAAATAAAATTTTGGGGTTAAGTTAATCGGATGTTAATTCATGGATTCAGTGAAGGATTCATTAGGCCGATTTTGTCAGGGTGATTCATTAAAAGATTTGGGTCATAAGTGTCATTTCGTTCATTAATCGGATTAAACTAAACACATTGTTTGTTTTTACACACAGAAAGGAAGGTTTTAATAATGCAGTATATGATATCTTTGCATTTATTTTAAGCTGCAAGCTCACGTCTCATGTAAAATGTAATTTAGTTTGCCATGACACTGTAGATTCAGTTGACTAGCAGTAGGAAATATGGCATAGAGCAGTGCTTACATGATTCAACATGATCTCTGAAGATTTTTTAAAATAAATTGATTCATTGTCTGCTTGTTTTTCTCAGTTGAATCTCTGAGGTTTCCAGTCATCCACTGGCTTGCAGCTGGTTTCATGCTGTTCTGTCTGCAGGCTTTTCCTCTATGGTCTGAGCTCCAGTGTGTGTCATGAAAACAGTGAACGGTAGATTTTTGCAAGAGATCAAAGCACTCAAAGTTAGATGGAGAGAAGGAAGGTAGGGGAAAGAGAGACACTGGTGTGTCTAAGGTCTTGTAGGCGTACCGGAGAGTAGCTGTGCTCTTTGGTTCAGAGCATCAGAATGTGACAGCAGGGTCTCGCCTGTGCTGCTACTCAATTAACATTTCCTAAGATACATTTGAGCTCAAAGCCAAAACAATACAGCAAAATTGGCAGTACTATGTAATTCATTCACTTCACAACTCTGCAATTATTTCTAATACCATGACCTTGCCATTTTGTTGCAGCATTAGAGACATGTATTCACTGTGTGGAAAGATATTTATTTGTATACTCATTATTACCAAGTTCTGGCAACTTTTCTGAAACCGCTTTTGGAAAAAAATGAACAAACAAGCAGAGCACGAGAGTTTAATGCATTTTTTTTTATTTCAATAAAAGCCTTTACCAATATAAATGGTCTTTGTGGGTGTATTCGCCCACCAATAAAGTGGCAATATTTTTAATGAATATTATTTTGTGCAACACTGTAGTATCAAATTTAAGGTAATACATTTATTTTGTTTAGTATTTAAATTTTCAAAAATTTAAGAATTAAAATTTTAAAAAAAAATTTTGCAATTGTTTCAGGTTGTTTAATTTGCCATTGCTAAGAGCTACTCAAATTTGAAAAAGCAGGATTTTTTTCATTCTATTATTTTTTATTTTTTTGGCAAGTAGACAAAATCATATCATGATTTGATATGATATGAAATTGTATATGATATATTTTGCTATAAATCAACTTTAGGTTTTTATTTAGTTTTTTTTGTTTTTGTTTTTTTATTTTTATTTTTAATGATTCACTAAATAAAATATTTTACAAATGAAAGGTACCTATTTTCTTGATTTATTCTCTTTTCATTGGAATTTTATGGACTCATACCAACACATAAGATTATTCATAACAAATGCATAAATCTGGCTGAAGTGCAAAAACAGCTTCACTCAGTGTAACACATCAAAACTGTAATAGATTATAAATATGATTGGATGAGCCACATTTGACATCATTGTAAAATTAGCTGATATAACCTGAAGCACCTGCATGAAGTCTAATTCTGTATTAATGCACTCAGCAGCAACGTTGCTTGGCAACCGTAAACGTATAGTTAGAGCAGATACCAGCAGAGCGTCGTGACACATCAAAAGTGAATCACTCCCATTATAATCAACAGATACACTGGAAGCATTCATCTTTGAATTTGCACTATAAAAGCATTCATCACACAGTTTACAGAGTAGATTATGGTTTTGTGTTTGGTGCATTTATGAATATATTTATGTAAAATAATAAAGTAGATACATTCAACTAAAAAAGCTGTGCAAAATGATGTCGTATTTTTTACTTTATGCCTTACAGTGTAAATCTTTTCATTTAAAAATGATAGACAGAAGACCACTGATTTTTTCATCATCATTTTATTACTATCAGCAGACCTCACATTAAAATTACACAGAGATCAATGTTTCTGAGGCAGTTGCTCAGTTAAGTTGGAGCTCTGCCTGGTCAGTACATCCACATCAATTATTTTGGCATGAACTTCAATCCAGAGTTGACACGTTTTTGCTCACCTTTTTGCTCACTTTATTTTCACATAATTTTCACATAATTTATTCATGAAGCACAGAGGTGATGCTACTAATGCCACCAAACAAGGCCTTCAGATATACTTTTATGGGATGCCAGACACTAAGAACACAAACAGCCATGATGTGGAGTCGCCAGCTATTACTGTATTACTGAGACACATTGAGGGCAGCAATTTAGAGCTCTTTGTTAATTTTAATAAAGTACAATTGAGTTCATTACTGGTATTTAAAGGAATAGTTCACCCAAAAATGAACATTTTCTCACCCTTTGACCATGCACGATGTAATTGAGTTTGTTTATTTATAAGAACAGATTTGGAGAAATTTAGCATTACATCACTTGCTTACCAGTGTATCCTCTGCATTGAATGGGTGCCGTCAGAATGGGAGTCAAAACAGCTGATAAAAACGTCAGAAATCTACAAGTAATCCACACAACTCCAGTCCATCGGTTAACATCCGGCTATGAAGCAAAAAGCTGTGTTTTTTAAGAAACAAATCCATCAAGGCATTTTAACTTTAAACCATCAATTCTAGTAAAAAAAAAACACCAGTCCATAATCAATAATAATGCTTCCTCTAGTGAAAAAGTCCATCCCGTTGTTCTCTCACATCAAAATCACACAGACATATTTGATTAGCACTGTCTGGGACTGTTTTTGTTTGATCTGCACATATTTCTCTCCTGATTCAGACAAGTTGACAATATTATGGATAAGAGGACTCGTATTTTAGCCGATGCAATGGTTTGAAGTCCTAATGATTTATTTAATGATTGATTTGTTTCTTACTGTACAAACATGCAGCTTTTCATATTACAGGGCATTATTTGATGGATTGGAGTCATGTGGATTACTTGTGGGTTATTGTGATGTTTTTATCAGTTGTTTGGACTCTCAGCAATCTGTAGATCACTTCAAATACAATCTATGATGTGGCTGAGATTGAACTGTTTACCCTGACTAAAAGAGCTTTTTATTGTCACAATTTATCATTTTTGAGAAAGAAGGGAAAGTTGGCCTTCACAGTTTTTTTGTTTTGTTTTTATAGACATACAGATTGCTAATTTCCTGTTGTAACCTATATAACATAATTGTTCAAGTTGACTAACATTTAACTTCAACAACAAATTAATGTCATCAGGTTTCATAGGAATTTAATTTGCAAGGAATTTATTGACAATAATGGTCCAATCCAAACTGTTGTGTGTATTAGCTGGTATATCAGGACATATTTCTCAGAATCAAGTCCATTCAGTGCTGTAGGCAAGGAGATATACGCAAGTTTAGCAATAATCAGTTGTTCCTCTCCTAATGCCTGTGGAGCTCAGACACAAAAGCCCTCTCGCCAAATTTGGCTAAATCACGAAGATCTGCTGTGCAGCACGTATCTTCACAATATAAATTTTTCTTACATGTACATCGAAAAATATTGTTTTCATTTTCTACCATTAAGGTCATCAACTGTTCAGTAGATTTGCAGCTTTACCTGAAGACAATCGAATCAGAAAGCACTGTACACTGTGTTAAATGCATCAGTAGTGATTTTCTGCAAAACTGCTTTGTGTGTTTCTGAAAATCTGTATTCGTGAGGTTTATGGAAACATGACAGGAGCCTTTGAGAGTCTCATCGCTTGTTGACTCCGTAACCGCTGGAGCTCCTCAATATTTAAGACCGATAATCAGTTATGTGCATATTTTTGCAAAATAATGCATTGAGGAGCAATGATTAGATTAGGAGTCATATCAAGGCAGTTTAGAGGAGGGTAAAGCACTTGCGGTTATAATCTGATTATGGGTTTGAAATAATTAGCATGCTAATGTTTCTCTTGGCCATTGTGGGAAGAGTGGTGCTTAAAGCTATTATGTGATTTATTGGAGTGTGTGTATAAAAGAGCGTGTGTATATGAGCCGGTTTATGTTTCATGGTCAGGGCTAATCAGTAATAGGTGTGTGTGCGTGTGTGTGTGTGTATGTGGGTGTGTCTAAATCCTTCTATGCTGGCCAGAGAGGTCTTCCGTGCCCGTGAGCCCTCGGGTAGCTGTGTGCTTTGGAGATAGTGCTGCTGCCCACTATCCAGGGATCCAGGCTCTATCAGACCGGGCTGTAGGAGGGCCGGAGGGGGAGTGGCGCTGATCCAGTTAGAGCATTGAGGCTGGAAGAGATTTTTAAGCACAGAGGGAAGACTCTTTCCTGATCTCTGTGACATTCATACAGCTGTTTTGAAGTGGCTAGGACAAAACACAGAGCTCATGGACAGAGAGAGAAATCAGGCCAAACAGCCCAATTATACATCAAGTGATACAGTTTAGATCAGGGGTGCTCAATCCTGTTCCTGGAGATCTACCTTCCTGCAAAATTTAACTCCAACCCAGATCAATCACAACCAGCTAATTAAGATATTCAGGAGCACTTGATAATTACAGACAGGTCTGTACCAGATCAGGGTTGGAACTGAATTCTGCATGTAGGTAGATCTCCAGGACCAGGATTGGACACCCCTGGTTTAAATAATACAATAAATCTGCTCTGATAATAATTCTGTATGAAGAAATGTATGAACGTATGTATGAAGGAGTTGTGCTGTATTTGATTTAACTGAATTAACACAATGACCAATGAGATTTCACAGGGGGTGGAGCTACCCACCTTGCAACCACTCAGAACATTCTAACAACTGACTAGCAACACAACCAATCAGAATGCTCTATAGAATGTATAGACCTTACGTGCCGAACAAACAAGTGTGCAGCCATCATTCGAATTTTGTGTTTGAACTTCGGTTTTTGCGGTAGTTCTGTATATTTCTATGGCATCGCTGTTGAAGAGTAATTGGCTGGTGAAGGGGATTTACTTAGTGTAAAGTCAATTAAAGTTATCATGAACATTGTAATGTTTGAAGCGGATGTCAAAACAAATGTCAGTAGACCGGGAAGATTTAAAAACAAGTTCATTCATAAATCTGTTCAGATCTTACCTTCATGCTGTGGAAATACAAACCAGAAGACAATGAGCGCAGTGCTGAAAAGGGACAGACAGGGCTACATAAGGTCTATAGCAACTTTCTAACAATAACACAGAACACTGCAGAGCAACACCATAGCCAGTGCTGGGTAGATTACTTACAAATTGTATTCTGTTACTGATTACAAATTATATGTTGAAATTGTAGTCAGTAATGTAATCAAGATTACTAATTTTAGGTAATATATTCTGAATGCTTTTGGATTAATTTTAGATTACTTTTGACATAACTTGTTTATAGATTTAAATGTTAAATCCAGATTACATGTAAGCAGTTACTACTCTTCACTGACCATAGCAACAACCCATAACCCCTAATATTTTCTCTGGTCTAATTACTTCCATAGAAGTGGCGTTTGTCATATGGAAACTTCACTCTTTTCTGTCATAACTTGACTTTTTTTTCAAAAGATGGCACTTCAAGGACAAATATGGTACCTTTTGTGTGATTTCCTGTTTATTTGACTTGGGGGAGGCTTTGTAGATTGGAGCTGGCTGGTACAGGACCTGTTGGAAACATCCTTCATGCTGTCATGCTAAACAGCACTAATGATGAATAATGATGCACATCTCTGCATGTCCAGCCTCGTACAGGCAGGAAATGATGAACAAAGACAGTAAGAAGCAGTGAGAGAAATTTGGACAAAATAAACAGAAACTGAAAAAAACAGTCAAAGTCAAGTCAAAGTTGGTAATACCGACATTAAGACAGGCAGACAGAACAATATCTAAATAAAAAAAGAAAGAAAATAGTAAAAACTGCAAAGTGTGAAATCAGGCCGGTGTGTACCCAGATGCTCAGTAAGAAGGGTTTGTGTGATGATTTGAATTGCAGCCAGCGCCCCCGCCTCACCCAGAGAGATGATCAGCCTCAAGGACAGGAAGAACGACTACGGCTCCACTGGAACCAACGCCAGTTACCATGGAAACAAAGGAGAGCTCACTTCCAGAAAAGACACAATGGCAGGTAGGTCTAACTTCAGGAGGAAGAGGAAGAAGATCAGAGTTTTATTCAAAGTACTTAACAGCAAGAAAACTAGATGTCCACTTATAGAACTGTGAGATCCACTGTTTTCTGAGCTTTTTATGTTAAATAACTTTTGAATGGACAAAAAAAAAAACATTCTCTTGACAAAGTATGAACACCATTCACGAAAACATCCATGGTGAATTATTTTTTCAGCTGCAGAATGTAAAGTTTTACACAAGAGAATGTGAAGTTAAATATGTACAATAATTTTGCTTAAATTCTAAGATCTGTTATTAATTCAGTGTATTGTGTATAAAAATGTGTCAGAAAAAATATACAAATCAAGATTTGTTAGATATTGTAATGTTGTATTTTAATATATGTGAGGAAAAAAATAATACTGTCTGGGTTTGAACTCTTGGCCAGCCACACATAAGTGTTAAAGGGCAAAATCTGTTAATGGTCCATCAAGCCTTATCCCAGAGTTCAGAGTTCCTAGCTTCAGCCCTGCCAGAGTATCTTATAAAGGATGGATTTGTTTCACTGTCAATAAGTACAATTTCCAGAATTTTTCATAGTTGTTAAATGCCTGATTTATAAAAAAAAAAAAAAAAAACATTCTCTGCACATTCACACTCTCGCTTTCATCCCGCAGTTCAAACCTCCTGTGGAACATCCACATTGTTCCGGAACTCGTACGAGACTTCAAGTGACGAGATCAAACACAGCCAGGTGAGCAAAGAATCAGCCTGAGATGACTCAAATAACCAGGGTCAAACAGGGACTGCAGTTCCAAGACTGCATGTGAAATGTGTCTCTGATTGTGGAAAAACGTCCTAAAATCAGACACCATTTACGTTTACTACAACTGTTATGCGGCTATGTTAGGATAAGTCATTAGCGCTTGTTTTCAACACAAGGCAGCTGTCTTATCTGCCAATCCAGAAATGTCTTGGCAAACAAAAGGCTGAAGATCTATTCATTCTTGCATAGACCTCTCCGATGCTGTTTATTTGACTTTGTGAGCCGTCATGCTATGCTAATGAATTGCAACTATATGCTTCCAAGTATTTTTTTTTTTGGCACTTTGGCCATATAGAAGATATATTACTTCTACTTGACAAGGTTTTTCATGGTAAATTTTTAGATTTCATATGGATTAAGTTTGCCAGATGTCCCTGGCACACTTCTGCACCACACCGTATGTTGAGTCAGTCGACAGAAATGCTCTCCCAGACGAGCAGCTGCGATGAGGCTGGGTACTGATAAGCCTGGCTTCCACATGGATCTTTCCTTTCTGTAGCTGGAGAGCATTCAGCTCTGAATCTTTTTCAATTAGTAACATCTCATTTTCTGCTTCAAATCAGAATCAAAAGCAGCTCTGAATGGACAGAATAATGTGAATTTAAAGGGTTAGATCACTCAAAAATTAAGTTTGTGATCATTTACTCACCTCCTGTTGTTCCAAACTTGCATGGCTTGCTTCCATGGAGCACAAAAGGAGATGTTAGGCAGAATGTTATTATATTATCTCATTTGTATGTCTGCATATGAAAAAGATTCCGTTTTTGTTTTCATAAAGTATTAAATGGGTCATGAAATGCAGTTTCAGAATTTTGTATTATGTTTCTCGAGGTTAGTTAATGAAGTTTACAACGTTTTTGCACCTAAAAATAATCCGATATTTGTAAAAATTATCATTTTCCATCCTCATTTTCACTCTTTGTAAAAAACACTCAATTTTAAGGGGCGTTACCTCTTGCAGAAACAGAAGTAAATGCCCACTGCTGCGATTGGCTAACTTCACTGCACCATATCCATAATAAAAATAATCTGGCGGGGGGTCAGAATTCAGCACAACACCAGCAGCATATTTAGAATAATTCACAAAACAGTCCGTTGTGAAATGTGAAGAACAAACAAAAACTTTATCTCTCAGTCTCTCAGGCATGTCATTCAAAATAAACTGAAGTCATGCATTTCTAATGCTCAGATCTTTAGGTGGCTATGCAAGGTTTTTGAAGGTGCAGTTTTCATTACATCCACTAACAAAACAACGTCTGAGATTGAGTCTTACTCGACATCTCTATCCAACAGCAGTATCGCTTTTGTGATTGATGGACAGACATGAGTTGTTCAGAACACTTCTCCTCAGATTACGTACGACGATGATGCATATTAAAGGGTGTATCGAGGAGAACTGCATCACGATTTTCCCAATTTCAAATCTGAGCATTTCAGAAGGGTAGAAAAGAATGTCATATTTTAAACTGGCGAGTTCGATTTGAATTTTGAAACTTGAAATATCTTGATTCTCCATTTCATAACACCTTTAGGTTTTCTTTGCAAAGACATTTTGCTATAACAGCTGGAAATTATAGAGTATTAAAGTATTTTAAAAACTCAAAAAAGCAGTAAATTCATAAAGACATACATGGCCAAACATTACTGATTGATTTGTCATTTTCAACTCATTTTTACTGATGTTACCAAAACGAAGTCATTCTTGTAATTTCAACAAAAACTCGAAAGATAATTTTACCTAGCTGAGTTTAAAAAGTTTATAAAAATGTATGTACATTAGCAAAAAAATGTATGATATAGCACTGGGCCATCCTTTGTTGAGCCTTGTATGATATAAAAGCACATCCGCTCCAAATCACTGTGTTTGGAAGCACAACAGCTACCTTTTCCTCCCAAATTTGAGATAAGAGACTCTATACGCTTCTGTTAATCAACTTCACTCACAAATCCTTCTTTCACCTCAGGTCCCAGTGCCGCCCGCACCACAGGAGCCCCCGCGCAAGGACTACGAGGCATACCCCATCTATCAAAACACCACTAGGAACTTTGAGGAGCCATTTTTTGAGGATCAGGTCCATCGTCCCCCTCCCGCCACCGATCTGAATATGCACCTGGGACTCAAGTCCACCAGAAATTATGTGGACTTCTACTCTGCCGCACGGCCCTATAGCGAACTCAACTACGAAACGAGTCACTACCCCGCATCCCCCGACTCTTGGGTTTAGGACTTTGAGCACATAGAGGCCAGGAAACTGCATGTGCATGCATATCACAAAACCTTTTTCAGAGAGTTTTGTTAGTCTAAGCTGGTTCCATGGCGAATATGAGCGGAGATGAGCAAAAAATAAATAAAAAAGAAAGCGAGAGAGAAAAGAAGGCCTTGACAGAGAGAGAAAGAATGCGTGTGAGATGAGAGAGAGCACATGCTTTAAAGAGAAGCGAAAGCTTAACCTTTGGAGTAGAAAGTGTGTTATGTATTGAAAGGTATTTGAAAAGTGTAGTGGCAAAAAAAATAAATATAGCAGAGGAAGGTGAGGTATGTAAGCACAAGAAAATTAAGTTTGTAAAATGAGCTACGGGAACAGCTTTTCACCATTTTCAAAACGTTCTTTTCATTCATTTGAAGTCACGGTGGATCAAAAGCTTTTTCTTTACACATTTTTCCCCTCTATTTTTTTTTTATTTGATGTAAAGTATTTGGAGTACATTAAAGAAATGCATTAGACAAGTGCATTGTGTAAATTACACAGACCACTCAGTTCTTCCCATGGCTTTGGGTATTTGTTTTACAGTACAAGAAAAAGACAAAAAAAAAAAAATCCTCGGGAGAGATGTGTTAACCTTCAGTGTCCATTCCCCAAAATTACGTTCGAAGAGCAAGGATGTAAATGCCAGTATTGCTCATTCTGAAAATGTGAATATGTCTGTGGCAACTAAAACAAAAACAGATGTAGACCACAGCACCATTCCACTCTCCTCATCGATGAAGTGCTTTCTCACTGCCTACAAAAATAGATGTAGATTTTTTACATAGATTCTTTTTTCAATTTCACTTTTTTCTTTCTTGGTGACTCAGTGTGGAATAAAAATAAATGCGGCTATTTATCATCCATATTTGCAGGAGAACTGTCTGTTTTAGACCTTGATCTCAGTTTTCTGTGCTAACTGACTGTGCCAAATTTTAAAATCTCTTCAATCAGCACTGGGGACATTTTTGAGTTTTTCAGTTACTGCTTCGATTTGTATCTGCGTTTTTTTTCTCTCGTTTTTTTCATAAGTGTGTTTTACTGGAATTAAGCGACATCTAGAAAACACTGGAATACTACCAGGAGGGCAAAACTTAACTTTGCAAGCTTAATTCCCTCCAAAGATGTACAAAAAAAACCGTCTCTCAATGTTAGTTGAGTGTTTGCTGTACGTTCGTTCCACTCTCCTCTCCTCGTCGATCAAGTGCTTTCTCACTGCCTACAAAAATAGATGTAGATTTTTGACAGATTCTTTTTTCAATTTCACTTTTTTCTTTCTTGGTGACTCAGTGTGGAATAAAAATAAATGCGGCTATTTATCATCCATATTTGCAGGAGAACTGTCTGTTTTAGACCTTGATCTCAGTTTTCTGTGCTAACTGACTGTGCCAAATTTTAAAATCTCTTCAATCAGCACTGGGGACATTTTTGAGTTTTTCAGTTACTGCTTCGATTTGTATCTGCGTTTTTTTTCTCTCGTTTTTTTCATAAGTGTGTTTTACTGGAATTAAGCGACATCTAGAAAACACTGGAATACTACCAGGAGGGCAAAACTTAACTTTGCAAGCTTAATTCCCTCCAAAGATGTACAAAAAAAACCGTCTCTCAATGTTAGTTGAGTGTTTGCTGTACGTTGATCAGTGTTTGCTATGAGAGGCTTTGTTTCTGACAGGTGGCTTCTTCTGTTTGACTTGACCAGAGATGATGAACTGCTACACTGAGATGTTAATAGAGAATGATAAATATATAAATATGAATATAAATATAGATCTATATCATTTTTATGTGCTGATGTCAGTGTCACTGAAAGCAACAAACCAGAAAAGACTTGTACAAAAAAAAAGAAAAACGATTCTGTTTACCTTCATGTTCTGATTCCAACAGAGAAAAGAGAAAATGAAACTTGAAATGTTGACCTGGTCCCAGTTGTGTTGTTACCAAGCTACTAAAATAATCATGCTGGATTTGGATAATGTTCTGATGTCAGGACAATAAATTACTCTGCGATTTGGAGCCGTTTTCTTATATCCAGTAGACATGCCACAAAATCATCATTTTCACACCCGAACGTTTGTAGATACGCTGTCAAAGTAGATACGCTGGTATTACAGCTGGTTGGACACTAGGTGGTGCTATGGGGCAAGTTTCACTACACAATGCTGTAGCTAAATTCGTACATGCTGAAGCTAAATTTGGTTGTCAATTCACCTTTTAGTACTTTTTGTACACACACAGTACAGTAATTTATGGGAATGACAACCACATTCTACAACCGAATTGACTCCTGAAAAATGCAGGTAGTGACAGCCACATTTGCAGAAATTCTACGCTGTGTGTACAGAACCGAACTGAACAATTAGTTGTTAATGATGTATTTAAATGCGTTTCAGAGTTGTGGTGCAAGAAATCACAGCAAAGGAGGTACGTCTTGACTCAGTGTTGCCAAATCTTGCTATAAAAAATAACAAATAATAAATTCAAAAGTGTTATCTTGGAAATAAACAACATACCAAAATTTCGCTACCTGCACATGCCCTACTCTATTATCTCGTTAAAATGACTTTCCTCAGTTGACATTCGCTTCTTGCGACCTCTGGAAATTTATTCACAGCTATGGTTGACTTTCACTATTGTCTACAGGAGGACACATCTTTGGATCAGCCTCCACCAGATGTGTTTGTCATTTTTTACCAGGTTAGCTGTTTTATCTGCAAGCCGCCCATGCTCACACTTGTTACTAGGCTACCCGTCTCTTACCTTTCCTTTTCCTCAATCCATCTACTGTCCGCTACTCATGGCTCTTTCGAAATTGAACCCGGCTACCCCCGTGGACAACCAGTTACGAGCCTGCCCGGCATCCTCATCGCCGCTAGGGATCCCCATCCTTTCTGTGTGGTTTGCATGGGTCTTCAAGGCGCTTAAGAAGCCATTGATTTCCCGGAAAACTGTAGCTATTGCTTGTTGCTCCCTATGAGGCTCCTGCGTCGGAGGCTCAAGGTGGCCGCTAGTCAGAGCATTGACTTGGAATTCTCTGACTCAGATGGGGAAAAAGGGGACACCGGCACGCTCCCGGGGGCCTCCCACGGTGCGGCCTCTCTGAGCTGGGCCAATCAATGCGACCCGTCCCCCTTTGAGGCCCTAGAAAACAGCTTCTTCCCGTCCTACCGGCATGTGCTAAACATATGAAGAACTACTGGGGAGATCCACTCAATCTCAAACTTGGCCATGCGGGTCTTGAGGTTAAGGACATGGCGAATCTTGGTATGGGTGACACCATCGAGCCCTCTATCGCCAGACACCTTAACCCCTCTCAAGGCAGGCTGTTCGCCCCACCCAAGTCTGTTCTACCCGGCAAGATGGACCGTTTCTCTGCGTCCATTCATCAGGCCTCTTATAAAGCCTCGGCTTTGGCGGTAAGAGCCCTCAGGTCTCCTCCCTGCTATCTGCTTACCAGGCTGAACTCCTGGTCGACATGGGACAACAACTGGAGAAAGGGTCGCCATCACCCAATCTCTGGAAGGAGATCAACCTCGTTCTCCGTAATGCCCATCAGGCTCTCTTACATTCAATAAATCAGAATGATTAGTTCACATCGATCAATCTCAAAGATCCTTTCTTCCACATAAGCATTTATCCTTTGCACAGGAAATTCCTTAATTTCGCCTATCAAGGCATATGCTACGAATTCACAGTCCTTCCCTTTGGGCTGGCTCTCAGCCCACAGACTTTCTGCCTGTGCGCGAAGGCGGGCCTGGCCCCGCTGAGAATAGCGGGTCTCAGGATCCTGACATATATTGACGATTGGCTGATTATAGCCGATTCAAGAGAGAAAGTGATGCAAAACACTGCCCATGTTCTCGCTCACGTCACCGCTCTCGGCTTCAGAGTGAATGTGAGCAAGAGCAATTTTACTCCTGCCCAGAATGTGATATTTCTAGGTCTGGAGCTGAATTGCATTACGATGCACTTGCTTGTTGCAAGACCAATTTCTCTCTTTCGTGAATTGCCTCTCAATTCAGGGAAGGAGCTAGGGTACAGTATCGCACATGTCTCAGACTACAGGGTCTTATGGCTTTAGCTGTCCATGTCCTGCCTCTGGGCCTTCTGAGAATGAGGGCGTTCATGAAGTGGGTTTTATCTCTTCATCTCAGCCCATTACGTGATCTCTGCCGCTCTGTCACAGTCTTCTCGTTATGGGACAAGGATGCCCCCTTGGCGTGGACGCACTGGCCCACCCATGGCCCAATGTGCTGCTCTACGTATTTCCTCCGCTCTGCCTAATAACTCCTACTCTGGTCAGGGTGAAAGAACAGAGCCTAACTCTGATTTTGATAGCACCTAGATGGCCCAAATCTCCATGACTGGCAGAGATAGTCCCTCTTCTGTATGCCCAGCAGTGGCCCCTCCCATTACGCATGGACCTCCTGTCCCAAGCGTATGGGGAAATCTACCATTCTCACCCGGAAAGGATGGCCCACTGGGCCTGGTCCGTGAGAGGGCAAACTTAAACACATTGAGGCTCTCCCTACGTGTCGTTGTTAACTATTCAGAATGCTAGAGCCTCTTCTACACGCTCCCTTTATGATTGCAAGTGGCATGTGTTTGAGGAGTGGTGCGAGGGGCCCCAGCTGATATCATATCAGTGCTCAGTCGCTGGCATTTTGGGTTTTTTGCAAAACCTTATTGATGGTAGGAATTTGCACGTACTCTCTGTTCATCCCTCGTGCACTACATTCTCTCTTAGTGGAGATAAGGTCTTTCTCAGGCCTAACCCGGCCTTTATGCCAAAATGCTTCCCAGCTTTCACTTGTGAGGTGCTTGATCTTTCCGCTTTTCACCCTTCTCCATTCTCCTCTGCAGAGGAAAAGAGGCTAAATGCTTTATGTCCTGTTCGTGCCCTGTGGGTTTACACCAACAGGACCAGCCCTTTCAGGAGGAGTGATCAGCTCTTCATACCGGGCACCAAACACAAGACACCAGAATGCTGCTATGGTTACTGTTGACATCACAGTTTCGAGAGTGAGTTCTGTTCCATACACACAAAAAAAATGATAATTTGAGGATTCACTTCTGTATTT